CGGTTCTCTTATGTTCTACATCTTTTCCAATATTTTGGTGTCGGTTTTTTGTCATGAAGGTTTTGGCTTTTAGAAATTGATTTTTCTTGAGTACCCAGCTGGTTCTTTTTTTTTTACATTACTACTTATACACTAGTTCATCCTTTTGCTGCTAGATTGTTTTTTTTATCATTATCTCATTACACCATGTCACAATTTTTTTTTATTATTTACTTTTCATGCTTGGTCTTTTGATTCCCTACATTCAAAGTAAGGGGGGGATGTATTACTATACCAAATACTCCATTGTCTACATCCCATTTGGGCATCCAATGGTACAATCATGAATCATTCGGTAAAGTATTCTTCCATTGTTTATTCCTAATGCAGTCATCAAAGGAAGTATTGACTCACGTTAGTGCCTCAAATGAGATCTATATAACAATCTAGTTTAGCTCCTTTTTATATAGTTGAACTCTTTTAATAAATCATTCGAAGTTATATTTATACAGTTTGATGTTCAAACAAGTATAAGAAAAAACTTCGAGAAGGGTGGGAATTCATTGGTGTTTATATAAATTTTTTTTCTCTTGAACAAGCTGGTAAAAATAGAAATAAGGTTGCAGCTAATACCTCAATTGAAATTGAAAAGAATAGAGAATTACACTTTTGAGCTGGATTGAGTGCAGTAAATTGTTCACTCAATTTCAAGATTCCTGGGTAGAAGTTTCTTTTTCGAAACGTCAAAGTTAAAAAATTATTCGTTAAACAACCCAAAAGGGCAATGCCAAACATTGGCAGTTGGACTGGCTTTCTTCTTTTGCCCCCTTTGGCTATGAATTTCCAAGGAACAAGCACAGCGTAATGTTGGTTTGAGATTTTGACGCTTTCCATCAAGAATCTCAATAGGTTTTTTCGTTAAAACAGCTTTTTTTCGTAGGCCTCAAAAGTCAGAAACGCACAAGTCTGTATGTTTTTCATTTCAACCTGCAGCGAAAATTTCACTTCGTACATATTTGGTGCACATGAAACGTTGGCAGACTTTTTGGTACAAAGTTCAAACGAATTGAGTTGTACAAGTAGGGTTTGAACGTTTAAACTTAACTTCGGGTAAATCAGATCTGGTTTACTGGTTCAGCGGTTGTTGATACATAGGTTGTTTTAGTTTGTATGTTGGTTAAATGTCGTTGAGTTATTTGAAGCTTTTCAAAGAATTGAAATCATGGTTCTGGTCTGGAGCGCTGACGATCATCATTTGATGCTGCGACAACTATCACTAGCTCTTTGATTTTCAGGAAGACCAATTGAAGAAGCCATCTCACCATCAACCATTTGCACCAACAACTATTGTAGTGAACTGAGGGCAGTGTATACAAATGTTGAGCCTTAGAAACAATAAACTGTCTTCTGCCAACCTATAAGGGTTTGTCAAATTGTGTTGAAAGCCAGCAGTTTCAAACTTCAGCCTTCGGGTGGTTTAAAAGCACTGTATTTATTTGACAGTGCACACAAGGACAATACCTGTACGCAAACAAAGTTTGAACTTCGAGCTAACCAGTTGATAAACAAGCTGAATTAGAATCAATTGTTATGAATGTAATCAAGTACCTCATATTCAACCAATGTTGTTCAGTTCAGCTTTAGATTGAAGGCTTTCATTATTATAGCCCTAGAACCATCTGTGTGAAACAAGCAGTCACTATCAGTCTCAGATGTTGAACAATCACATCTAACAAGTTACACAACATCCAAATGTTGTAGGCAAAAAAAGAAAACTTTTTGCGATTCAAGGTTTGATCCTGCATAGCTGACACGTCCTTTTTAGACAGTCGAAGATCTTCACCATGGTTTGAAGAAAACAGGTTGATAAAGTATAGGTACTACATGCCCCAGTGCTCAATCACCTTCATCTTCACTTGTAAGAGCATGGGTCCATGATTAAGTTATACCTTAATCTAAAGTTATCCTGTGACTAGAGCATAATCAGTGAAGTCTGATTAAGTTTTTTCCAAAGAACGACGCGCAAAGTGCTGTTCGCTGTGAGATTTTTAGTGGACGCAGCTCCTGCGGAAGAGATGTATAAAGGCTAAATTGTAGGCAGAAATTTTACAAGGCCCAGTTAATGCTGCTCCAGCCTCCAGCCTAGTGCACCGGGGCAAGAGGAGCCTACACAAGGCTATAAGGACCCAGCCTAGCTACTGCCAACCGCCATTTAGGCTCCCCGTTCCAGCCTGGCGTTGACTCAAAAATGATCATGAATCTTGATGATCTAACACCCGGTTAATTGAAGTCTGAAATTTCGATGAATAGAAGACGCCAATTCAGGTACAGAGGGATGAGGTGAAAAAGAAGTTTCTATAACCATCAACTATGCAGGTTTTCTTTTGGTTACAAAGCTCTTTTTATTATAATTGTACTTGAAATTTGAAGCAAAAGACGCTGGTTGACATTAAACTAGTTGTGTATGCGTACAGTATATATAACAACAATTGAACACGAAAATATCTAGTATAACAACCAAATAGTACTTCCTACGATGCTATCGAATTGTATCAATGAATTGCCATTGTATTGAATCCCCCAAGTCGGCAACTATCAAATCTGTTGCATATCTCTATAAGAACAATTTGTACCTAATTCATATTGGTGATTAATAGAAGTACAGTTTCTCAATATCTAAAATGGTGACGGCCATATTTAAAAAGATATTGATTAAATTCAATAATATTGCAGTTCCAGGTCTATTAATCTGTGTACGAAAATACAGAGTAACTACACAAACGAGAGGTACCTCGATAGGCTAATTTGATATTATTGTGATACAGCACTAGTATAGAGTACAACAGCTTGCTAATTATATGTCTGCTTTTCTGTACCTATACATCCGCTCAGTATGTAATTATCATGCTACTGGCCAAATCAATATAGCCTGTGGAATCTGACGTTGGCTATAGATACATAATATTATTGACATAATATTTTAATTTGGTAGTGCAACTAATATTCGAAATCCAATTAATTTTCATATGTATTAATTTCATCTTTGACAAACAACGTCGTCTAGTCAAAAGGTACGTACGTCTGATGGGCCGTGAAGGGTCTTAATTGAGCTGAAAGCTGATTCAGGCCCAATCATATTCAGAATAAATCAGAATCCCAAAGCTCAAATAATCAATAGCCTAGCAGCTACGTCCCTGATTGAAGCCCTCAAGATGGTTTCAAATTTCATCGTTCACCTAGTCACAAATTTTATGAATGCTTTGTGATGACTTATGTATACCGGTTCGATTGTGGAGTCTAGACATAACATGCTTTCAATTCAAAGTAAGAGCAAGTATCTGGTTGTGCTTCGAGTTGCAAACATTTGATGAATGGTCCCGTACTAATAAAGCACTGTAGAGAGGCTGGTCTGAAATATACGCACTCGCTCAGTGGTATCAGGTCTGGAGTCACCTCGAGTGGGTAGGCGCCTGCGTAATTCTCATCACCAAAGACGCTTTTAAGCTAGCGTTACGGCCGTAATCATTTTTACACCCCGTTAAACGCGCTTATAAACAAGTTGGACACTCAAACTATATTTCGAAATCCCTACAGTCCAAAGGAAGCGTACCTATATAAATCCATAACTTTGCTGAATGCCTGTGTATTATATTTTGCTACCCTTTCAGGAGCGTTATAAGTGGGCTTTGTTTGTTTAAGATGACGCGTGATTTAGATCGAGCTCATGAAGATATCTTGGTGGACGAGAAAACTGTCAAACCAGTCAAGAGATTTTTAACACCTATTCTTACAAAAAAAGTTCCCTTGGTTCCTGATGAATCAGAAAGAAAGACATTGCCATTATATTCTTCAAACATATTATCAAGAATTTTTTTCGTTTGGTTGATTCCATTGTTCAACAGAGGTTATAAAAGAACTTTAGACTTCAATGATTTATGGAAATTAGATGATCGGCTATCAATTCACACAACTTATCCCAAATTTCAACATCATTTGAATGAAATAATAACCAAATACCGCTTGAAAACAGGTGAAAAAAATAAATTTCCCAAATTTGCAATTCTACAAGCATTGTTTTTAACTTTCAAGTACGAATGTGGTTTAGCCGTTGGTCTTTCCATGTTACATTATGGTGCTCAAGTTGTTTCTCCAATTCTTATCAAGAAGTTGATCAATGTGGTTGAAATGAGGGTGTTGGTACCAAGCTCGCCAATCAATGATGGTATCGGTTATGCTATTGGTGTTACACTGTTGGTTGCAATTAGCGCCCTAGCCCAAAATCATTCTTTACAAAACTCAAAATTGGTTGGTTCCCATGCAAGAACAATCTTAACAAAAGCTCTTTTGGAGAAATCTTTAAACGCAGACTCTAAAACAAAGCATAACTTTGGTAAAGGGAAAATATTTACTTTGATGAGTAGTGATTTGGCAAAAATTGACCTAGGCCTAAGTTATTTACCAGGTGCACTATCGTTTCCAATTCCTTCTGTGGTCGCCATTGTGCTTTTAATTATCAATCTTGGTGTCGCTGCACTTTCTGGTATTGGTGTCTTTGTCTTGACCGTTAGCTTATTTGTTTTTCCTGGTATTTTGTTTATGAAGTATAAAGAAAAATCATCTCTTCATACTGATAAAAGAGTCAGTTTAATGAGGGAAATCATCAATGCAATGAAAATGATCAAATTTCATGCCTGGGAAGGCTCTTATGAGAAAAAAGTTATTGAAGAGAGATCAAAAGAATCTAGTTATATTTTCAAATGTGAAGTTTTGATCAATATAATGTTTGGGGCCGTTTTCAATTTATCATTAACTTCATCAATGACAGCTTTTTTGGTTCTTTATGCTATTCGTTTCAATCATGGAAATGTTGGGAGTATTTTTGCTTCATTAGCGTTGTACAATATTTTCACCATGGCTGTATCTGAGTTTCCAATGATTATTGGACAATGTACTTCTGGTTGGGTGAGCTTAAACAGGGTGCGTGAGTTTTTGGAATCATCTATTGAAAATTCTGACACAAATTTGAGTGAAAAATCAAGTATTAATTATAAATCTGATTCTGCAATCAATATAACAAACGGTGAATTTGAGTGGGAAGCGTTCAATGACGATGATGATGATTTCAAATTGAAAAATATTAATCTGAATATTCAACAAGGAGAGTTTATTGTCATTACTGGTCCTACTGGATCTGGTAAATCTTCATTATTACAAGCTATAAATGGAGAAGGGATCAACAAATTGCAAGGTTCTGTTTCAATCAATGGATCATCAATTTTTTATGAAATGCCATGGATTCAAAGTGCCACTGTTCGTGATAATATAACTTTTGGAAAACATTTTGATGCAATATTATATAGAAAGGTTATAAAAGCATGTGCTTTAGAATCCGACATTGCACTTTTACAAGCTGGTGATTTAACAGAAGTTGGTGAAAGAGGTGTGACTTTATCTGGGGGTCAAAAGGCAAGAATAAGTTTGGCAAGAGCAATTTATGCAGATAAAGATGTATATCTACTTGATGATGTTTTGAGTGCTGTCGATTCAAAGGTTGGTGCACATATTGTTGATCATTGTTTCATGGACTTGATAGCTTCAAAGACAAAAGTGTTGGTCACTCATCAATTATCTCTAATCTACAAAGCGGATCGTGTTGTCTTTTTGAACCATGATGGTAGCATTGATGTTGGTACAGTTAACCAATTGATGAATTCAAACCCAAAATTTGTTACATTAATGCAACATAGCCAAATCAAAAGTACAAAATTGAAGAAATCAACCAGTAAAGTAATTACCAATAGCATTGATGCTGAAGATTATGATAATTTTGCTAATGGTGAATCTGGTTCTTTATATGGTTTAGAAGAAAAAGCTGTGAATGCAATTCCTTTGAAGATTTATAACCAATTTATATCTGCAGGTGGTGGCCGATATCCATATTTGACAATAACTTGCTTGGTTTTAATTACAAGTTTAACGGTGTTTTGCACAATGTTTGCAAATGTCTGGTTATCATTCTGGATTGATCAGAAATTTTCAAAGCCTGGTCCATTTTATATTGGTATCTATATAATGTTGACATTCTGTTCTTTGATATTTGTTATTTTTGAATTAATTATCTTGGGTTCTATCTCTGTTAATGCTGGTAAAAATTTGAATCTGCAAGCTGTTAAAAGATTATTACATACTCCAATGAGCTTTATTGATACTACTCCAAGTGGAAGAATCCTAAATAGATTTACTAAAGATACAAATTCATTGGATAATGAAATTGGAAATCAACTCAAAAAGTTTATTCATATTTCAGCAACAATTATTGGGATCTTGATTTTATGTGTGGTTTATCTACCTTGGTTCGCTATCGCTATACCATTGTTATTTTTGATCTTTTTCACAGTTACTAATTATTACCAAGCATCATCAAGGGAAGTTAAAAGACTAGAAGCATTGAGCAGATCACTTGTGTGCAATAACTTTAACGAAGTTTTGAATGGTATAGATACTATCAAATCATTTGGATCTGAACATAGATTTATTTCAAAGAATGACAAATTAGTTGATAGATTGAATGAAGCATATTTGGTGACTGTTTCCAACCAAAGATGGATTGGTATTAGTTTGGATCTTATTGGTACCGGATTGGTTTTCATTGTTGTTATGTTAGCCCTAACAAGACAATTCAATATTTCTGCTGCTTCAACAGGTTTGATAACTACATATGTTTTGGAATTGGGTAATGAGATATCTGATGCATTGGTTTCGTTTTCTGAGGTTGAAAATGAAATGAATTCGGTGGAAAGAGTTTGTCATTATGCAAATGAATTGGATCAAGAAGCTGCGTATAAAGTTGTTGGGTTGGTTCATGCGCCTGAATGGCCTCAAAATGGTGTTGTTGAACTCAAAAATGTTTCACTCAGATACCGTGAAGGTTTACCATTGGTTTTGAAAAGTCTCAATTTCAAGGTTGGCTCTAACGAAAAAATTGGTATCGTTGGAAGAACTGGGAGTGGTAAATCAACTATTGTTAATGCACTTTTCAGAATACTTGAAATAGCTGGAGGTAAAATTGAAATAGATGGTCTAGATATCAAGAAGCTTGGACTATATGATTTGAGATCTAAACTATCAATTATTCCTCAAGATCCTGTTTTATTTGAAGGGAGTATTAGAAAGAATTTGGATCCATTCAATGAGCGTTCTGATATGGAATTATTGGATGCTTTGAGAAGAAGTGGATTAATAGCAGATGGTGAATTGAAAAACATTCAAAGAAATCATAAGTTTCATTTGGAAAGTGTGGTGGAAGACGAAGGTTCAAATTTTTCATTGGGTGAACGTCAGTTATTAGCGTTAGCAAGAGCTTTAGTTCGTCGTTCTAGAATTTTAATCATGGATGAAGCTACTTCAAGTGTGGATTATGAAACAGATGCACTTGTTCAAAAAACAATTAGCCAGGAGTTCAAGGATTGTACTGTCTTGTGTATTGCACATAGATTAAAAACCATTTTGAAGCATGACAGAGTTTTGGTTCTTGAAAAAGGTGAATTGGTGGAGTTTGATGAGCCAAAAGCATTATTTAATAGAAATGGACGCTTCAGAGAGATGTGTGACAGCTCAGATATCACTCTTTCAGACTTTTAGAGTTATAATACCATGAATAAAGATTCTTTTATAAATGTAGTTTGTACATAGTCCAGCGTAGCTCTAAGCTTTTAGGCAAAGGATGCTCTTTTTTACGCTGCCATGTTTTATTCTAGGCAAAGGCGGCTCAAATTTCCGCTGCCAACTCCGCCTAAATGAGCCCTCTCCGTAGGTTAAAGTCCTGTGTAAATATGGTCACTAACTCGCGCCATCAGGAGTTTTCGAATTTCTGTGATCAAAAAAAAAACCTGTATTCACCCTTCCACAATTCACAACCCATCAACACAGCGCTACACTTTCAAAGCATTCAACAAAGGTACAAGGCAACTAGCTCCACTTCAACTTCTTAATAGTCAACAAAAAATATACTGAAAAAATGAATTTACTTAAATCGAAAGAGAAAAAGTTATCAAATCTTTTTTATTTGAATCAACTAACCCATCAACACAACATAAATTCTTCAGCTATTACTGTTGATCCAAAGAGTCCTGCTACGTTGAAACTCAACAACTATTATCAAACTTCCTTGGCTCCAGTACTCCAGTGGTGGGCCTGATGTGATTTATTTGAAAAATCCTCAATCTTTGCATTACAATAATTTGGTTGAGGTATCATTGGACATTATTTTATTGAGTGAGAGTCAATTAATAATAGAAGGTGATTATGATAATGGGAATAGCTATCAGTTTTTGAACAATAATTTTAAGTCTAAGAATTTAAAATATGTTGCGATTTTCAATAATTTATTCAAGTACCCAATATATGGAATTTTAACAAAAGATTATGAATTTAGAGTTATCATTAATCAACAATTTCAAGATAAAAATGGTTATAATTTGAAAAACTTGTTGATTTCTATATTTGAGTTGGTTACAGACGTTTTGATGACTGAGTTTGAAGATCAAGAGATTAAATTATTTATCTACATGAAACGCAATCATTTTGAAACAGAATCAAAACTTTTAATTAAGAACTTGAACTGGTTAGGTGGGAAATTGATTTTGGATGATAAAGAGGAAACAAACAAGTTTAGCGATTGGTATATAATGGAGTTTGAAGTTTAAATGTTTTTATAGTAATAATAGTAATATGTTTTTTGTTTTCAACGTACACCATTCACTTTGACAACTCAATAACTTCTTTTTCACCATCTTCAATACTGACTTCAGGACTAATTTGAACCCTTTTGACGGCTAATTTACCATCTTTGAAAATCCAATGTGATCTTTTAATACCTGATGGTGATTTCTTTGCACCTAAAACACCAATCAATTCCTTTTTTGGGTCACTCAATAAATCATATTGTAAACCTTGTTTCGATTGGAAATTTTTTTGAGCTTTTGGGGAATCAGCACTTAGACCTAAGATCAATGCTTTTTCTTTTAAATCATTGAAATTATTACGGAACCCACATGCTTGTCTTGTACAACCTGGAGTACTAGCTTTTGGATAAGCAAAAATCAAAATAATTTTGTTTTTAGAAGCAGCACCTTTCAATGAGATTGATTCTTCATCTTGATTTAGCAAAGTAATATCTGGGATTTCATCACCGACTTCCAATTCCTTTGATTCGGTGGCTGAAACTTCTTTGAGATCCTTTTTTTTAACTTCCTTCTTTGGTTTCGTTACTTTTGAAGTCTTTAAGGATTCAATTTTAGTTTCACTTTCTGGTTTTTTTGAGGCAACTCTTGCACTGCGTCTTAATTGTGTCATGGTTGGATGTCTTTTCCTGGTTTTGGCTGATATGATTGAAGGACTAAGGAGGTTATGTTTTCTTGATTTTCTCGAGTGTTAAAAAACGATGAAAATTGTGGATGCCATCTCCAGATTTTCCTAATCGGGAAGTTGAGCCATAAAACTAGTACAAATTGGATTAAAAAGCGAAAAAAACAAGTGAGATGAGAGTCATTGAAATTCAAAGTATCATGTAACCAATTCCTATTCTCTAGGCATGATTTAATTGGTTCTACCCTTTGTTTATTTCCTGATTCAATAATCTGATTATCTAATAGCTCATCGCTTTATAAAAAAAAATTTTCTGAGTGAAAAACAATTCAGAATTATACTACAACTTTCTAAAACAACAGATCCAGAGAACTACTCAAAATGGCTAAAAAAGGTAAGTCATATTCATATTCTACTATTTGGGGACAAGACTAACTTCATTATCAAGTATCCAAGCATTCCAGAGCTGCTAGAAGAAACGAAATTGATGAACCAGAGGCTAAATCTTTAGCATCTTTACCAAGAGCTGAAAAAACCGATCTAACGTCAGCCATAATAAGAGCAACTACCAAGAAGAATGAAGATTTATTAAACAACAAAATGCTAAAGAAAGATGTGAAAAGTGGCCAAGTGCAGAAGAAAAATGTTGCGAAATCCAATTTGGAATCAAATCTAAATAAAATAAGAATGGAAAGAGCCATTATGCAAAGTGATATACTTCAAGATAAGATACTGAAGAGTAAGCAAAGATCAAAACAAGTTCAACTCACAAGAAAGCAAAACTGGGATGCGATCAATCAAGCAGCTAATGAAGTTATCAGATCAAGATCTGGTACTCCAGCTGATAATGGTGAAACCCCAGAACAAGATGAGCAACCCGCTGAAGACGCCATGGAGGAAGAGGATAAGTTCTATAGTGATGATGAGGAGGAATCCACTAGCGAGTACAAGCCTCAAAGAAATGCATTTGACTTGTTGAACGACGAAGTTGAGGCCTAGAATTTGTATACATTTAGTTCAAAATCACTTTTATCGGTCTTAATCTTTTCTTGTACGGGCCACGTTTCTGGTTGTTTTTTTTGTTTTTTTTCGATTCGCTTCGATCATTTGCAAATACGTGTTCAAAAACATCAACAACTTGATCTGAAAGAATAGTTCAATTCAGTTCAATTCGTTTCAATCCACTTCAATTCTACTGCTGCTGCTTTTCGCTTGATAGGTTCCACAATGAAGCTCTCCACTGTCGCAATCCCAGTCGCTTTGACTTTGTTATCCAGAGCGGTTAACGCTGAAGAATCTTCTGATGTTGAACATCCAGAGTTCACTCCATTTGACAAGTCACTCTTAAGCTCAGATTCATTCTTTGAACAATTCGATTCAGATGACTGGGCCAATTTATGGAAAATTTCAAAGGCTAAAAGAGATGAGGAATTCACTTATAATGGTGAATGGAAAGTTGAAGAACCAACTATTTTCCCAGGTTTCAACAATGATAAAGGTTTAGTCTTGAAGACTCCAGCTGCTCATCATGCTATCCATGCTGGCTTACCAAAACCTTTCGATAACAAAGACAACACTTTGGTTTTACAATATGAAGTCAAATTACAAGAAGGTTTAAAATGTGGTGGTGCTTATATCAAATTATTATCTGCTGAAGGTGGTCCAGACGCTAACAATGAATTCAATAATGATTCTCCTTACCAAGTCATGTTTGGTCCTGATAAATGTGGTACCACTAATAAAGTTCATTTCATCATTCGTCGTAAAGATTTAAATACTGGGGAATATGAAGAAAAACATTTAGCAGTTCCACCATTATCAAGAGGTGTTAAAACTACAACTTTATATACACTAATTATAACTCCTGAACAAGATTTTGAAATCAGAATCAATGGTGATGTTGCTAAAGCTGGTAACTTATTAGATGATGATATGTTAGTTCCAGGTTTAAACCCACCAAAAGAAGTTGATGATGAAAATGATACTAAACCTGAAGATTGGGATGATAAAGCTTACATCCCAGATCCTGAAGAAACAGAAAAACCTGAAGATTGGAATGAAGATGCTCCTTACTTAATTGCCGACCCAGATGCTGTTAAACCAGAAAGTTGGGATGAAGATGCTGAAGAATATATTGTTGATCCAGAAGCTTCAAAACCTGAAGATTGGGATGATGAAGAAGATGGTGAATGGATTGCTCCATTAATTCCAAACCCTGAATGTGCAGATCATGGTTGTGGTAAATGGGAACCAGAACAAATTCCAAACCCTGACTATAAAGGTAAATGGAAACAACCAATCATTGAAAATCCAAACTATAAAGGTGAATGGAGTCCAAAGAAAGTTCCAAATCCAAACTATTATGAAGATTTATCTCCATCGGACCTTGAACCAATTGGTGCCTTAGGTTTCGAATTATGGGCAATTGAAAATAATATTTTGTTTGATAATATTTATTTAGGACATTCTATTGAAGAAGCTGAATTAATTGGTAATAAAACTTTCAAACCAAAGTTTGAAATTGAACAACAAGAAGTTTTGGCTTTATCACCAAAGGCTAAAGATGCTGATAAACCTGATTCAAACTTGTTGAATAATGATGAAGATGAAGACGACGATGATTTAATTTCAAAAGCTACAGTTTTCGTTCAAGCTTTCATCTCTGATGCTCTTGATTATGTTAATGAATTCTTTGCTGATCCATTAAATACTTTAAGCTCAAAACCTTTTGAGGCTGGTCTATATTCAACTGTTTTTGTTCTATTTTCAAGCGTTGTTTTAGGTTTATGGTCATTCATTCTTTCCTTGATAACTGGTTCAAGCTCTGAAACAATTTCACCAATCAACGAAGCTAAACAACCAGCTAAACAGCCAATTGTGTCTGAAAAAATTGAAGTTGTTGATGAGAATGAGGAAACAACATCTGGTGCAGCAAAAGCTGAAACAAAAGCCACCAAACGTACATGAGGAGTCATGGTCATCATTGCGTCGAGATGATATGCAAGTTGGCACTTTTCAGATACATCCGTCTTTGGTTTTCGTGATTGTCTTTTATCATTTTCAATTCTAATATATAAACTACATAGTTGTGTTTTAAAATAAAAAATCCTGTTCTCAAGAAAATGAAGCAAGATGTACTCTTCATGAGTCGTAAATGTGCAGAGATAAACCTTCGGTAATTTGTGACAGTTTAGGTACCTCAGGTAAATTATTTTTTGATTGATGAGGTATCTTGTATCTGGATAAATGATTAAGCAGCCAGCTTCCAAATACATATATGCTGAAGAACCAAAATTTTAAGGTAAAAGAAGTTATAAATAATTGTTCTTTTGTATCCGAGTAGAGTTACCAAGTGTGATCCTTTGACATGTACAATTAACTGGTCGCAATGCACTCGGCCAAACATATGTATAGTTAATATTGAATACAAATTGATACGTTACGGGACGTTAATTATTGCATTAAAGTTCTCTTAGTCGAGGATAATATCAATATTATTTTTGAATACACTTGAGAAGCTTTTAATATATATGGCTTTGTTCCAGATTAATTATCTAATATGTATTGGTGCATGATATTGAGCATTATGAGTTCGATCATGTTCCGGCTGCACTAGATCTATTATAATAAAATTATTAATCATATTTAATCATGATTTTCACCTGTAATAATCTCAATTATATATAATATTATACTGATTTATTACTATATTAATTTAATTTATATTATAGTGATCGATGAATATGATCGACCTGCACTAGAAAATCTGATTTTTTCATTTTTTCAAGATTTTGAAGTTAAATTAAATATTAGGAGGTACAAAATTATAATATTTTGATCCCTGCAATAATTTAAAATGATCAAAATATCAATATTAATTTTAGAAAAATAGCTATTATACTCTAGCTTGTCCATACTATAACCAAATACTAATTAATCATACCTGAGGCCCCAGTTATATGTCATGATGTTAATGGCGCTAGCCGTAATATTATAAGTAATTCATGAATTATATGTATTTGATTAATCATACTGCAAATTCGACGTCAACACACTAAAACTAATAATCTTCTAAGAAAGCCAATCGGCGACTTCTGGCTTGCTGATGCTCAGCTAGTACTGCCAATAATATTGATTAGTATGTTATGAATATAATAAAAGCTGGAGCATAGCGAGCTGTACGTCATAGTTGCGTATCGTTGATAATTACGTTGACAAATCAAGCTCAAGAAGAAAATTTGCCTTTCCGCCTGATTCTTCCATAAGAGGCTATAATAATAACCTTAACTTATAACAATTTACCTCGTGTATAATCACTTTTGAATCTTTGACGTATCAGCATATAGATTTCAGCTTCTGTCAATTCCAACCGTGTCAGTCGATGCTGATCCTGTAGGTAATTTAGGCAGCTCAAGTTCAAAGACCGAGGCACGACTCACGAAGAAAGGCCCGGAAAAAGTTGGTTGGAGTAAGTTTTTACATATACCAAATGGCCAGAGCTTCACTGGAGCTGTCGAATGCCTCAGTCTACGCTTTGGAGTTAGCAACATATCAACCACGTTCAACCTTTTCCAACTGGCTCATTTTTCAATTCCAATTTGTCAATTTGCGCTGGGTGCTGCCTCCTGCAAATCGCGGCACCGTTAAGATTTGACTTTTTTGGTCCCTTCCAAACTTCAACCGTTGTAGATTTGGGTTTTGCACACACCGTCAGACTTTAAGAAACTTGGAGATGTTTTTGATCAAACAGAACTGGGTTCCAGGATTGAAAACGATGGTGTGATACATGCTTCAAGTACAGTTCCAGCATACACTGAGCCAGAAGCGAAAAGTGGGAGCGTTGCTAGACATATTAATTAATTGAGCTGTTACAGGTGTACATGTCGAGGAGGAGGGACTCTATTCACAAGAATACCTCTCGTATTTAGCTGTGTTTCAACCTTTAACTCGCAATTGTATCAAGGCAGCTGTCAAGCTAGTAAATAGTTTGTTCAATTTTTGATTGGTGGGAATTACGTATTGTTCATTTGTAAACCATGACTACGCGTGAGTCTTGCTCAAATTACGGAGGTGCTAGTCGTGGAGCATCCATGATCAGAACTTTGAAGCAAGTTTTGGTGAAGGCGTGTGGATGAAATTGCGGACGATGATGAGTACACTTAAACACCTTTTACACTTTTGAATTCTCTCTTCCTGTAGATCTTCATAAAGGTTCACTCGAAGCTCAACAAAATCTTCATGATTAAACCATGTCCCATCTTAATCCAAGTTTTGAACCTCGACAACTTCTCACCTCTTATACACGCATTTGAAGCTTCAAACACGCCGATATCCTCGAGATGATGTCTAGCAATCGTTTTATTAATATGCCCGTTCTTATTTGTTTTATAATTGTATGAAGATCGTGATTTATGACCAATTAAGCTTTTGTACATTTTGTTTGACCAGCCCAGCTTCACAAAAAGGAAAGCAAATTTAAACAGCTTATTCACACTAGCTCTGAGTCAAATAGTGTAGGTACAAGTAGGTCATAAAGCTTTGAAAGATAAACCATATTGTTTGTTATCAATTTGAAAGGTTACGACTAGATGTGTAATTAAAGTTTCGGTTACATTGTCTGTCTGTTTTTTTGCCTTCCCTATTGTTCCTCCAACTTTGTTGTACAACGACATAACCGTCAAAAAACCTTTTGAAACTAGCATCAACTCAGAGCTCATATACAAATATTCTTCAAAAACTAAAGTTTAGATCCCAATCATGTTTGCAAATTATCTCTTGACTAGAGACGTCTGTTGATCAAAGTGCAACCAAGCTTAAACCAAACCAACCAATCTCCTTTGTTTCAAGTTACACAAGTTACAACTCGAAGCGATGTCTATCGTATTCAAAGCTGATTGCTCGAGAGTCGATAGTCGAGGCTATGACACAAGACAGATACCAGTGGTCGGTGGTGTAGTTTCTACCAGAATCATTTGACCTGTGGATAAATGTGTGTTACAAGCAGATCAATTTCTTCTCGAAATAGTAAAGTCCATCGCACTTCTCGTTGAAGTGAGCAAATCAATTGAAATTTTGAAGACTTGTATAAGAATCCATTTTCGCTTCGAAGTTTTTTCATTTGTAACAATTTGTTCAATTGTGTAGCTTTTGTGGTGGATTGTTGAAAATGTGTACTTGATTCTATTGATAGCTATTGGGGTTCTTGTTTCAATCCATTCATCTTGATAGCCGAAAAACTCACTTTCCTAGATTCGAGATAAATGATAGGCCCTACTTTTCAACAATTGTTGAAGATTTGGATACACATACGGCATTTAATTATCGCGATTTGATACAGATAATCCTCGTCGACGTTGAAATGATTTTCAGTTACACACGCAAATTTTTAAGGCACAAAGATTTTGTACATCAACCAAGCTGAATCACACATCAGTTGATAGATTTTGATAGAACGAAATCGATGTAAGGTATATAGGTTTTAGACCTTGGTTGCTCAAGTAGGAAATCCTCATACCCAATAGGACCACGAGCTTTTGAAGCTTTCCAGCCTCAACCTTCCAGCCATTGGAAATGTTCATGATGTCAAAGGATCACGAACAATTTTTTTTTTTCATTGTGGCTTGAAGTCCTCGAGTCTTCGACTACAAAATATTTCACCACCCAATCAGATCGTACAGGTACTAACCTCTTGATTGAAAACACGGGTCTTGTGCCTTGTACCTCTGTCAATGAACCCATTCCACAAAAACCCTTGATGTCTATGTAGTACTTATGTTGTTCGACAATAATATGTTAATGTCAGATGTGTAATTATTAAAATTTTGGCCGAGATCTCGATTCTCTTGTTACACTTTGTAAGTTGTGTAGCTTGTACAATTCAAAGACAATTAAAACCACACCAAACAGCGCATTATTATCCGGGAAAACCCCAGCACTGATATATTTAACCGCGGAACAATTCCAGGCACACCTCAAGAAGCTCATAAAATCAATTAAAATGTTACCAATCAAGTCTCAAGTCCCAAATTACAACAAATTTACATGTATTTTAATCTTCTTTGTTCAAACGTTTTCTTTGCGCATTCACTCCGCCAAAATTTGAAGGGCCCAAATTGGGTCGCCATTTGGACTTAAAATAACATGATGATCATTGAACTGCGTAACTTGTGCATGAAGTCAACTTCCAAAGGCGTTTAAGTGTCTTAGTTGATGACGTTAACTTCGCTTTAGCTAGCCTTTGGCCAGCTTAAGAGACGCCATGTTAGGTTATTCCCCCTTTACAACAGCGAACCTTGATTTCGAATGTGCATAAGGCAGTGCTGATTGTTTAAAATTGTTTAAATCCGTTAAATAATGCAGTCGTGCATTTCTGTACTCCATTTTTAGATATAACCGATACGCTTTTTTTTTCATCAAAATTATTCCATTCATATCATTTGGAAAAGGAGTTTGTTGTAACAACAAAAAGCTGATAAACCACATTTGGTATGAAAGTTTGACATTAGACAGACACCTACATGAAAAATTTGTTTATCAAATGTAGATTACGTTAATTGAGTTTGATGGGAAAATTTTTCAACATGATCAAGTATATAACCTTCAACATTTCCTCGAGATACGTCTACCCCCAGGAATATAATACAGATACACTCCAATTGACTTTTGACTTGACAATTATAACGTCTAAAATATTCATTAACATACACTTCAGCTGTGCTGTTTTTCTTTTCATAATTATACTACCCACGTCACTCATTATAAATATTATACATTCCTACAATCGAATATGCAGTCTGTTCAAAGAATTAGATTACCAAGTGTCAATGACATTTTCCCAAAAGTTGAGAATCAATTGATAATGAATCAACAGTGTTATAATGTACAGGCTAATATGATTCAATCATCTCCGATTGAGATGCATCAAAATTATTCATTACAACAACCTCAAGTTACTTATACTCTTGCACCACAAGTTTCAGCTAATTTACCACAAATTTCTCAACAACAACCAGCAACTGCAGGTCCAATTGCTCAACCTATTCCATATTATCCTCAAAATTCAATACCTATACACCATCATCCTCATCAACATTTACCTCCAGCTTCAATTACTCCATCAAATTCACCAATCAATTATATCAATACTGGTAATAATATGGGGAATACACCACCACCATATAATTATCATCAACCTCGTCACAACGGTGTTATAATGGGGTCTATTATCAACTCACAGAATAAGTACAAGATTTCTAAAAATTCAGTTACAAGACAATCAAATGCATGGAGTGCAAATGATGATGAATTATTAAAATATTTAAAAGAAGTTAAAAATTTGGGATGGAGAGAAATTTCAATGTATTTTGAAAATAGAACTGCAAATGGTTGTCAATTTAGATGGAGAAGAATTGTTGCCTTATCAAAACAACAAGAGAATTATCAACATACAATTAAAAGAACTGATTTACAAAATACAGAGAGTAGATCTAATTCTCTGGAAAGTTTATTGAATTGATACTGTTCAAATATATTTATTATATTATGCTCTAGACGTTAATTTTCAGTTTTGGATCTATGATATTCATGATCTTATGAGATCTTTGTGGTGTGTGTGTCTGTTTGTTCTTTTTTTTAATTCTTATGAGATTATTATTTTGTTGTTATTGGCGTTGTTGTTTTCAGTTATACTTCTGAACTTTTTTTTTAAACTTGTTGAGCTGGTCTTTTACTTTTGAATATGCCTTTTATCATGAATATCGTACCAAAACTTTATACTACATTAGCTGCCTAAGAAAAAGTTTTTTGAATTTGTGATTTGTTTTTATGTCTTCTTTTCATGTATATGTTGTGTTATTTGCTAGAATGTTACTTTGATTTATGTTTGATATCGTGTAGAGGTGTACCTGACAATGCAATATCTTAGTTTATTGGAAGCGGACTTGAAGACAGAGGGTCCTTGAACTAACATGGTCTTTTCTTATATGATATTAGACAGATAGCTAACACAACAAGGCTTTCATCATCGATGGTACTTGACTCAATACTTGCAGAGACAGGTGATGATGGGTACAGTGCAACTTAAAACTATATCAAGTCTAGTCATTGGTCACCTAGCTAGAAAAATTCTCTGTTCTAAAGAGGTTCAAGAAGATGTATACAGTAAAGCTTATTTGGTCCTGAACTAGTTTTGTAGTTGAAAGAATCGGATTCAGAATGAACAGTTTTAAGATAGTGTCATGGTGATAGAACGTACATGTACTTGAACGAGAGCTTAGAAGTCATCAAGGTTTCCAAAGTCACAGCTTCCAGGTATATACCTAGTACCTACATCTACAATTAATAATATTAAACCTTATTATGGGCTTAAATTTCCGACTGAATAGTTGATTGAATATTGGGCTGAAGATTGGTGGATTAACCACTTGAAGAAGCTTGGATTTTAGAAGTTTATCGATTTTGAATTGGGTCAAGTGATTAATCAATTGATCAAATGATTCGAGGCCAGACCTCTATGATAGCTAGATTCAAGGATCTAGAGATCGATGCCCGATTACCTCGTTGGTGAACTTCTGAATTCATGTTTTGTCTTTTCAAGTTTCAAGCGAGAATCTTTGGTGAAGTCCAGAGCATTACGGATTACGAGTACTACTCTTTGAATGTATACGGCAACAATAGCGCTTCTTCTTGTGCTTCACCGCGATCCAAAGGTTTGACATGTTGAGGATTTGGAGGCCGAGAAAGCTTCTTACAGTGGCATCTGCCTGGGCCTCGGTTGAGCCTTGAATTGCAATTGGGTCTTTAATAGTCTATATCCAGTCAAACCCACCAGCACCACGATGGGAATAGGTGGGAATAGAACAGAGGGCCTTCTCGACAGCTGTTTGAAGCAGATCTGAACAGGAATCTGGCGTATTTGGATATTTTCCAGGTAATTCCGCGAATGTGCTGTGATGACATAATCACTTGGAGTAAAAACAATAATCAAAGTGCAATTAATAATAGGCAGCTTTGTAATGTTATCGAATTGGAACAAACCATGTTGCTTAGATCTATTATATTCAAAAGATGCTATTCATCACTACCATCACCTCCACCTGCTAAAGGACATTTGGTACTGCCCAACAAATCACTAATCTCAATAACTGGTTATGATTCAACAAAGTTTCTAAATGGGTTAGTTACTGCTAAATTAATACCAAATTCTGTAAAGAAGAAAACAATGACTTTATCCACAGATACTAAAGATGATTCATTATATTTGGATCAATTTGATGTAACAAATACCAATTGGGGGCTTTTAAAAGAATCAAAAGAATCTGGAAATCAAACAATAACAAGAAATGGGGTGTATTCAATGTTTTTGAATTCAAAAGGAAGAATAATAACTGATAATTTCATTTATCCTTGGCCAATAATACCTAAATCAATTGAAGGAACTCCTAAATATCTTATTGAAATTGATAAGGGCGTTACAAGTCAATTAATCATGAGCTTAAAACTTCATAAATTGAAAGCTAGAATCAATATTGAAAAATTTGATGATTTTAAAATTTGGTATTTTTATAACGATGATAAACAAGATTATTTATTTGAATTGAAAGAAAAGTATTTTAATGAAGAATCAATGGATTTGAAAAATCCAGAGAGTGTGCTATCAAATACAGAGAAATTCTTTAATGAATCAAGTTTTTGGAATACAGAGTTAAATTATAACCAAGATATTTTAGCATTTGCATTTGATGATAGATGTCCAGAATTTGGTATTAAAATCATCACAACTACAAATATTAATTCAATTGATGAAATATTATCAAAAGATTTATTACAAGACTCCAAAGAGATTTCCCCAGATCAATTATCAATTAGAAGATCATTATTTGGTATCCCCGAGGGACTTGAAGATATACTTCCAAACCAATTATTACCATTAGAATCAAATCTTGAATTAATGGATGGTGTTCATTTTGATAAAGGTTGTTACCTTGGACAAGAATTAACCGTTAGAACTTTCCATACTGGTATTGTTAGAAAAAGAATTGTTCCTGTAAGGTTGTTCTTGATGGATAATCATAATGAATTGGAGGAGTATCCAGTTTATGATCCAAAAGATCCCGTTTGTGATGTGCTTGAAAATTTAGGTTATACTGATATAATTTCTGATAAGCAACAAGAATCTCCAAAACAAACAACTGGATCTTCACCTTTTGGAAACTCCAAACCATCGAAAACTCGTCAAAGGAAATCTACTTCAGGTACATTATTATCAACCAATGGTAATATTGGATTAGCTTTAGTTAGATTAGAAGATTTCTCCAACCCAATGTTGAACTTCAGTATAGAACTACCAGGAGCAGGTGAGGATAATAGTACGTTGAAAGTTGGGTTGAAAGGGTTCATACCATATTGGTGGCCAGAAGATGTATAGTTGATAAATCCTCTATGTAAAAGAAGCCCTAATTTATGTAGCACGTGACTTGACTTAAAGCCCTAATCTTCTCATCCCAACACCACACTTTAACCCTGTGTGGTCCCGTCCCAGAAACGGACTCGCGCACTCTCAAAAAAAAATCATTTCCACAAAAACAAAGAAAAAAAAAAGCGCGAAACTGAGTTTTCAGTTTTAAAGCGGTGGAGTGTGTCGCGTACCACAGATTTTGCGCTTTGGGACTGGGCAAGATTGTGAAAAAAAGTGTACCAACTCTTTTCAAATTCATATAATTAACATCAACATCAACAACTTATACTTTTGTTTTAGAAACACAAGATCATAATAGTATCCAAGATGGCTGAAGAACAAGTTGACATTCCACAAGAAGAAATCGTCGAAGAAGAATTCGAAGTTGTTCAAGAACCTGTTGAAGTTAAATTCGTTGAATTAGCTACTCCAATTCCAAATGAAGTTCAACAAGCTCAAGCTCAAATCAAATTATTCAACAAATGGTCTTTTGAAGATGTCACCGTTAAAGATATCTCTTTAACTGATTACATTCAAATCTCAAAACCAGTTTTCGTTTCCCACACTGCTGGTCGTTATGCTGCTAAAAGATTTAGAAAATCTCAAGCTCCAATCATTGAAAGATTAACAAACTCTTTAATGATGAACGGTAGAAACAATGGTAAAAAATTAAAAGCTGTTAGAATCGTTAAACATACTTTAGATATCATTAACGTTTTAACCGATCAAAACCCATTACAAGTTGTTGTTGATGCTATTGTTAACACTGGTCCAAGAGAAGATTCCACCAGAATTGGTTCTTCAGGTACTGTTAGAAGACAAGCTGTTGATGTTTCTCCATTAAGAAGAGTTAACCAAGCTATTGCTTTATTAACCATTGGTGCTAGAGAAGCTTCTTTCAGAAACATTAAAACCATTGCTGAATGTTTGGCTGAAGAATTAATCAATGCTGCTAAAGGTTCTTCTACTTCTTACGCCATCAAGAAGAAGGATGAATTAGAACGTGTTGCTAAATCTAACCGTTAAGAATATTATATATTATTTTATTTTGTGGTGTTTTTAGGAGGGATTAATTTTAAAAAAGAAGAAAAGCAAAGTTATTTGGAATTTGGGTTAATAGAAACTATATTGACTAAATTTCGTGTACAAAAATATGTCATTTAATGTTTTAAAAAAATAATTGTTTTAATTGTAGTGTAAAATGTTGACATTTTATTGATCGTTAAAGAAATGGAACTCGCCAGGTTCGAATCGAGCGCGGTTTTCCCAAATGTCAAAAGTTCAGTGGGGATTTCATAAAATGGATGATCAAGACGAAGGTATTTAAACATGGCACAATTTCAATTTAGACCATGACAATTCAAAATGTTAATATCAATTGTTAATCAAAGATGCCTTCCAAAATTGTTCCCAATTTGCCTGAATATCTGAATAACGAGACTTTCCAGAAAGAAGCTCAATTGCCAAATTTACCGGTGCCTTCTTTAAATGATACACTCAAGTTATTAGAAATATCATTGGCTCCTTTGTTAAATGATGATGAATTTTATCAATTACAAAGAAAGATTCAAGATTTCAAAACTAATGAAATTTCATCAATTTTACAAAATCATTTATTAAAATTCCATCAAAATGAAGATTGTTATTTAGATCATTTGAATCTTGATCATATATTGATTGATCATAAGGCACTTCCAAGAAACCCTTTCTTAATATTGGAAAATGATCCATTGAAAAAAATTAAAATGAATCAAACACAAGGTGAACGTGCTGCTGTATTGACAAATTCAGCTTTAAAATTCATTAGTTCCTTAAGATTAGGTTATTTAAATCAAGATGAAACTTTTGGCGGGAAACCTTTAACAATGAAGCCTTATTTGAATTTATTTGGTACTACAAGACTTTCAGAATTTGGAAGTATAAGATCTAAAACAAATTTGACATCAGATTATATATTAATCTTGTCAAAATCTCAGTTTTATACTTTAAAAGTATTGAATGAAGACCAAAAATTATTGTTTTCGATTGATGAACTATCTAAATTATTGGATGAGCTTGTTGAAGAAGTTAATCAAGTGGAAAATCCAAATAGTACAGCAATTGGTTCAATCACTTCAGATACTTTTAAAAATTGGAGTTCTTCAAGAAGTTATTTACAACGTGAATTTAAAGAAAATTTGGATAAAATTGATGCTGCACTATTTGTTTTAGTTTTAGATCATTCAGAACCTGATAATACCAGTGGTGAAGAGTTGGCCAAGGTTTTATCTGTTGGTTCTTTAAAGATTGATGATCATGGTGTTCAAACAGGATCTTGTACTTCAAGATGGTATGATAAGTTACAATTGGTTGTTACTGCCAATTCAGTTGCTGGTATAATTTGGGATTCTTTCACTGCAGATGGTACAAGTGTATTAAGATTCACTTCAGATATGTTTACAGATTCAGTATTAAGATTAGGTGATGGTAATTATTCCTTATTTCCAAAAGTTAAATTGACAAAATCTGAAGATTATCCAAGACCAAAACCTGAAAAATTACATTGGGATTTTGCTGCAGATGCTCAAACTTCTTTACATTTAGCTGAAACAAGATTAACTGATTTGATTTGTACTCATTTGACAAATACAAAGACTTTGAATTTTGGAAGAAATTTTGCTAAAAAAATTGGTGTTAAAGCTGATAGTTTAATTCAAATATCTTTACAAATTGCTCATTATGCATTATATGGAAGACCAATTTCCACGGTGGAGCCAGTTTCAACAAGAATTTTCAAAAATTCAAGATCAGAATTATATCCAGTTCAAAATGATTTTATAACAAAGACTTGCCAAATATTTGTTAGTGATTCAACACCAAGTATTAGATGGCAATCATTTATTGATTGTTGTAAATTTCATTCAAATAATTTACGTAAATGTGCCAAAGGTGAAGGTTTTGAAAAACATTTAAAAGCTTTACAAAATGTTTATTTACAAAGACAAATTTTCAATCAAGTTAATCCAGAATTTAAAATTCCTGATGATGAAATTCCACCTTTATTATTTGATGATGTGATTTTCCCATTATTTGTACCAGATTTAGTTGCTTCAAATTGTGGTAATCCTGCAATGAGATTATTTGGATTAACACCTGCAGTTTCCAATGGATTTGGTATTGGTTATATTATTAAAGATGATACTACAGAATTTTGTTTAATTAGTCAATTTAGACAAAATGAAAGATTTTTATCAACATTAGATTGGGTTTTCCATCAATTACAACATATTTGGAAACATGATGTTGGTATTAAAAAAGTTCCACATGCTCATGAATTGGATAATAATTTGAAAAATCCAAAAACTTCATCTATTCAATCAGTTTCAATGTCAAGATCAACAACTGTTGGATCAAGTGAAGAAGAAGTTGATTTAGCATTAGGTGGATATGGATACTTTGATATTGATGATTTAACCTTCAGATCAAATGCTCAATCAAGAGCCGAGACTCCAAGTTTATCAAGTCATAATAGTTCAACAAATTTGAAAAATAAGTCAAAAGTTGATTGGAAAGAATTTGATAAAAACATTGGTAGAAAGATCAAAAATGACAGGCTAAAAGATTATTTTGAAAAACATGAAAGTGATTCAAATGGATCCGATTCTGATCATACTGGTAAAATGGAGGGGTTCAGTAACCGTTTTGATGCTAAATTTGATAGAGGAGCAGTTGGTAAGAAAGTTTCAGTTGAAGATGGAGACGATGATTGAAAGATTGGTTAATTATTTATTATTTATTTATTATTTATATTCACATATTTATTTGAAAACACGTTCAACACTCATGAAATTTTGTATATTAGTAGTCATTTCAAACGGTTTTTCTACAGATAGCGTTTTTTTTTTTTTTACTGAGATGATCCTAAAAAAAAAAATTCTTAAACTAAAGAAAACATAAACAAATTCTTCAATATTGAAGACACTTGCTCTCACTTAAAAGAAACTGAGCTAATAGTGCTAGAGAAGGTGGTTTAGATCAAGATTTTTATTGTCGAAGTCAGTTAAACAAACTTAACCTGAGATTCTGATTCAAAAGATGTTACCTCATAATAATGGCATGATGCCTAATCACAATATCCAACATTACAACCCACAACAACAGCAACACCAAAGACCCCAAACTAGCTCGAGGGCAAAGAAAATGGCGTGTGTTGAGTGTAGACAACAGAAATCCAAATGTGATGCTCAAGAGAAGTATCCAAATCCTTGTTCCAGATGCTCAAAGAAGGGCATATCGTGCAGTTTACAATCAGACTATAAAAGAACATATAAAAGAGCTAAATTTCAACAGATTGAAGAGGAATTAGAAGAGTTGAAGAAGAACTTGAGTGAGGCTGGTGCTGATAATTTATTAAAACAATTAAAAGAGAAATCTTTCCAAGTTCATGAATTGAATAAACAAGCATCAATATCATCTTCACCTCAACAACAAACTCCACCGGCAACACACCAACAACAACAGCCTAATGCAGGTTTTTCTACAAATACCTTACCACCTTTAAGATCTGCTTTATCATCTAATTCAACTCCGTTTGCAGCATCTCCAAAACCCATCCAATCCAATGTTTACCCGCAAAGTTTACCAATGGAACAAGGACCATCAATCATAAGGAATGATTACACTCAAATCGAATCAAAACCATTGAAAATCCAATTAACAGATGAACAACTTTTCTGTACACCAAAACAGTTCGGAGAAGTTGAGTTATCCACTGAACAGATAAGGCAATTGTTCTTGGAATTTGTCAACAATTATCATCAATTCTTACCTATTGTTGATCTTTCAAGGGGACCTGAACGTATTCATAGACTTTGCCCAGTGTTATTTTGGACAATAATGTCTGTTGCTCTTCGTCATCATTCAACTGATATCTTGATGACTTTGGCTCCATTATTGAAAACTGCATTAGCTGAAATTACAATAAGTCCAATCACAAGATATTTGCCAAATGAAGAAGATGAACCAATTTTAAACGTGTCTTCAGTTTTCTCGGTACAAGCTTTTCTAATTTATACATTTTGGCCACCATTAACTTCATCATTAAGTGCAGACTCATCATGGAATACAGTTGGTATTGCAATTTTCCAAGCCATAAGAATTGGGTTAAATGGTCCAGGTGTTAATAATTATAGTAATCAACAACAACAACCAGAAGTGAATTCAATATTAAAAGAACACGTTAGAACATGGATATCTTGTAATATTGTTTCACAAACTATTGCCACAGCTTTTGGATTCCCAGCTTTTGTTTCATTTGATAGTTCAGTTGTTGGCAGTTGTAGGCCTGGCTCAGAAGATGGAATACCAATTGAATTGAAACATATGGTAGAGATAAGTCATTTTGAAGATCAAGTTGCTAAAATTTTAAACTCAAATACAGTTGATGTTATGGGACTTGCAGATGCAGCTGAAAGATTACCATTATTGAAAGTATTAACTCAACAATTAAATGAATTGGAAGTTAAACTGAGAATAGAAGGATTTGATGACATTAGAAAATTCCAAATATTGGCTTCAAAAGTTCATCTATTGACTTATTATTTCCTTGATAATTCAAAGATTGCCAATTTTGAACTACGCCGTGGATTAGTACTTGTCTATAATGCTGCATTGAGTTTATTGAGTCATGTGCAAACAGTTTACAATAAGGATCCAAAATTCATCAAATATTTACCAGGTGTTTTCGTTTTAATGATATGGCAAGCTTCATGTATTGTTGCCAAGTTGATTCATTCTTCATTGAGTGATGTTATTGATATCGGTGCAGGAAGACAATTGTATACAGTGGCCATTCAGTTAGCTATGAGAGCTTCTATTTTAAAACATGATATGGCTTACCGTTCAAGTGGTATTATGAGAAACATGTGGCAATTATTTAAAGCTCTTAGAGAGAAAACATCAATTTCTAATTTGGATGTGACTATCAGAACAAGAATGTCTGCAAGTGTTTTCTTTGATTGTCTTTGGGTCTTGAGAGAACAAGTTGGAATGATTAAACTTAATCCAAATCAAAAATTATCAAGTGGTGAGCTATCAAATGAAATTGATGATGACGAAGATGAAGATTTCGGAACAGATGATGAGGCAATTGATGATGAAAATGGGGATAGTCATGTTACAGGAACTGACCCAGGTACTGTTGGGTCTGAAAGTTCAGATGCTAAATCAACAACTTCTTCGCAAAAGAAAAGACCAAGATCATTATCTAATAATCATAATGCGGAACATGCTGCCAGAAGAATCATTAGAACTATTCCATTGGATCCAGCTCCAATTTCATTAAAGAAAGATACTACTGATGAAAGCCCTGGTAGACAAATGTCTAGTTCTTTGAAAGATATTATCAACAAACAGTCACCAGATAGTACTTCATCAAGTATTGGAAGCTCAAGACCACTAAAGAAACAACAAAAAACTACAGCGACAAAACGTGCTTCGCCACAAAAGAAGAAACAATTACAACAGCCTTCAACCTCAGCTCAAATTGGCCAAAACAATCATCATACTCCAACAGAACAACAATTATTTGCACAACCTCATCAACCACATTCATTACAACAACAACAACACCAATTCAGACAGAATAGTAACAATACAACTTCACCATCAAACATCCCATCATTGGATATTAGTGATGACTGGACAAGCGATATGTTGTGGAAAGATGTTGATTCTGTTATGAATGATTTCGGGTTTAATACTGATGATTTAGCTAAAATTCAGTCTTCAACTTCATTAAATGCTTTAGATTCAACTACTCCCTCAGTACCAGCCCCAGCAATGGTAGCTCAATACCCAGCACCATCCTTGTTCCCTTATAACAGATACAACAATAACAATAACAATTTCCAACAATAATAAACGAGATCAATGAACTTTTAATATTAAACAAATTTTCCGTAGTACTATGAAACTCATCGGTTCGCGCAACATCCTACTGTGTCCCGATGCAAAAGCAGGGTAAAATTTGGATTTTTTAATTTTTTTCATACGTGAGTCGTTGAAGTTTTACGTATTGTAGTAAAGATAGTGATTTGAAATCAAAATACTTCATCTCGTGAACACTTAGGAAAGACTTTAAGAAGGAAACGATGTCTGACGATTTGCAAGATCAACAACCAAGTATCATCATCAATGGTAACTTGAACGATGTTGTTGATGAACCTCTATATGATGATGAACAAGATTCAGAACCTGAAGAAGCTCCAGTTGAACAAGAAAGCTCTAAAAAAACAGTTTCATTTGCTGTTTTAGATGATAAAGAAGAAGAAGAGAAGAGAAAACGTGAATTTGAAGAAGGTGGTGGTTTGCCAGAACAACCAGAAAACCCAGATTTCACCAAATTAACTCCATTATCACCAGAAATTATAAATAGACAAGCCACTATCAACATTGGTACTATTGGTCATGTCGCTCATGGTAAATCCACTGTGGTTAAAGCTATCTCAGGTGTTCAAACTGTTCGTTTCAAAGATGAATTGGAACGTAACATTACTATTAAATTAGGTTATGCCAATGCTAAAATTTATAAATTAGATGATCCAAATGTTGATGAAACAACTTCATATAAATCATTCAGTTCAGATAAAGAAATCCATCCAAAATGTGATATACCTGGTGTTGAATCTCGTTATAACTTGGTTCGTCATGTTTCTTTTGTCGATTGTCCTGGGCATGATATTTTAATGAGTACTATGTTGTCAGGTGCCGCAGTTATGGATGCTGCTTTATTATTAATTGCAGGTAATGAATCATGTCCACAACCTCAAACTTCAGAACATTTAGCTGCTATTGAAATTATGAAATTGAAACATGTCATCATTTTACAAAACAAAGTTGATTTAATGCGTGAAGAAAGTGCATTAGAACATCAAAAATCTATTTTAAAATTCATTAGAGGTACAATTGCTGATGGTGCTCCAATTGTTCCAATTTCTGCTCAATTGAAATATAATATTGATGCTGTTAATGAATTCATTGTTAAAACTATTCCAATCCCACCAAGAGATTTCACAGCTTCACCAAGATTAATTGTCATTCGTTCATTTGATGTTAACAAACCAGGTGCTGAAATTGATGATTTGAAAGGTGGTGTTGCTGGTGGTTCTATCTTGAATGGTGTTTTCAAATTAGGTGATGAAATTGAAATTAGACCAGGTATTGTTACTAAAGATGATAATGGTAAAATTCAATGTAAACCAATTTTCTCAAACATTGTTTCATTATTTGCTGAACATAATGATTTGAAATTTGCAGTTCCAGGTGGGTTGATTGGTGTTGGTACTAAAGTTGATCCAACTTTATGTAGAGCTGATCGTTTAGTTGGTCAAGTTGTTGGTGCTAAAGGTCATTTACCAAGTATTTATACTGATATTGAAATCAATTACTTCTTATTGCGTCGTTTATTAGGTGTCAAGACAGAAGGTCAAAAACAAGCTAAAGTTAGAAAATTGGAAGCTAATGAAGTTTTAATGGTTAACATTGGTTCAACTGCCACTGGTGCTCGTGTTGTTGCTGTTAAAGCTGATATGGCCAGATTACAATTGACTGCACCAGCTTGTACTGAAATTAACGAAAAGATTGCATTATCAAGACGTATTGAAAAACATTGGCGTTTAATTGGTTGGGCTACCATCAAGAAAGGTACTACTTTAGAACCAGTTGAAAACTAAAAAGTGAACAACTTATTTTAATGACCAAAATGATAACCAACTCAAAGAACAACATAGAAAGAATAAAAAAACCAAAAAAAACATCATCAAATCTGTAAATTATTTAAATTCACTTTTCAGGGGTATAATAAAGAGAAGTAATGTTATAATCTTACACGTAGAATTATCAAACCTACATATACATTTATCGTCAGATGAACATTATGCATTAAATTCAAGCTGTAAATAAGTTAACGATTAGCAGCTTGAGAGAAAGTTTCTGAAGACAAGAACTTTGGGAAGGAATCAAACTCCATAAGTTTCAAGATATGTTGACCAACAAATTCAAGTAATGGGTATAGCTTATGCAAAAGAAATATGCTTTTCGATAGTTCAGCATGTGTTGGAGTCTTTGGGGTTCTTGGACTTTTCAATTTCCCAGCTTCAATATGATCATTAGAAATATCAATTGATAAGTTCTTGTTGTTCAAATTTCTTGAAGATCTTTTAGACATTGTTGGATTTAAAGCAGAGGATAATGATAAAGAGGTGCTCGAAACATTATTTTGTTCAATAATTGGTGGTTTCCCTGGGAAATATGCAGGTTGTGGAATTGAAATTCTTTGATCATTAAGGGTTTTAGATTCTTGGGATTCTTTGAATGAAGCAGATAATGGTGAGTTTGGATGAACCATAACATTAGTTATTCTCTCTCTCAAAGTATGGTCAATATTTAATTGATATGGTGCACCGACTGTTATATATGACGAGTAAATATTGTAGGAAGATGAAAGACACTCATTTATCAATTTAACAATAGCACTTCTTGTAGCAGCTTTCCATTTATCTGAACCTTTAGCTTCTTCTTGCTTTTGCATTTCCAAAACATTTTTCAACAATGACATTTTTTTACTAAAATGTTTAATACTCAGATAAACATCCAAATTTTCAGCACAAAACTCCTTTTCCAAATGATTTCTGAAAAGATATCTCATACCTGGGTCAGCTAAGACTTTTTTCAAACTTAATTGTTCATCCTCTTTTTTCACAGGTAATGGTTTTTCTTCATCTGATGAAGCATCACTTGTAGAGTGATTAAGAGCTTGATTACTCAAAACAATACCATTATCACCTCCAGTGATGATCTCTTCATCATTAGCCAGTGACACTGTTCTTTTAATTTCATTCCAATGAGAAATATCCCAGCCGGTCTTGCTTAATGTGTAAAATGATGATTTCAAAGGTTGAACTTTCTTTTTTGAAGATGCAGTTGAAGGTGTTAAGATGATTGGTGAAATTAACCCATATTTGTAAAAAAGATTCAGCACACTTGTAGCTTCATGAGGATACATAATATCTGTACAATCCATCAACCATTGCCAAGCAGCTTTTGCAGTAAAGCAATATTCTATGTTCATCTGTTGCTTATCACCAAATTTATGATCCTTGTATAAACGAACACCTTTATTGGAAACATAATATTGAGTGTGTGAATCTGATTCAGGGTTTGTGAAGAAGTTATGAGCGAAAGGTGATTCTCTAAGCTTTTGTTTCTTGCTTAATATTGGAAGGACTGAATTAGATTTTGATTGTGGTTGTGGTTGAGATTGTGGTTGTTGGAAACAAAAGGATTCATTCTGGAAGTTTGAGAAGTCAAATTCATCATCATTTTCAAATCTATGATCTAAAGACGGTATAGGATCTGGTGGATTGGTAGACTTCCAAACATTAGGAGCTTCACCCAAGAATCTCACGAATAATAAGTGTATGAAATATTCAGAAAACACAATTGTATCTGTAACAGCACTTCTTTCAAATATGAATAAATCCATAGAGTTGAATGTTGTGTTCAATATTGGTGGTAATTTTGCAGTTTTGAAACCTAAATATTTACAATAACTGTGAAGAACTGCAACACCTTTGGGAGTAGGTTGTAATAAAACTTTTGGTTTGGGTTCTGATCTGGTTCTATCAGCTGGAGTGTGTATTAATTTGGCAGTCATGAACTTCTTTAGTAATGAGGATGCAAGATCTTGCTTTATGCTATATGAAACAGTTGTGCTTGTACTCGTTGATTCCACGCTTAAGGACAGACTAGCCATCGCATCAATAGCCTCTTTAACTGTAAATGTGAATGGAGGTGCTTGTTTGTTTAAAAAATTAACTTTAGATGATGATTTTTGAGGTTTTTCTTGTAGATTCAAACAGATCATGGTTAATGAAAAGATATGTTTCAAATCCTTTGTAAATATAGCACCATTTGGAGTTCTGTCAAATTTCTTGGAGATGGCTTCATGAAGAGTAAGTTTAGTTTCTTGATTATTAGTTGATTCACCCTTGAGATTACCACTCGAGCTCATGACTGTCTGATCAACGTTTGTTATATCTCTTCCAAAAGTGTTCATGAATTATCAAAGTGAAAGAATTTGCAAATTAGTGATTTGGAAGGTCCTCAAGAAAAAACACGGTAAAAAAAAACAGAAGGAGTTCTTTAGTTATAAATATGGAACACTATCAGTTATTGAGGTTTCAACTTTCAAATATATACGGTCTGCAAAACTTTCCAACTCTTCAAATAAATGGTTTCATAATATTGTGAAACCAACCTCTTGATCAAAGATTGACACTAAAACAACAGCATTCTGAAACTCAAATAATTTCCAGCTGGGGCCCATCTGCACCTATCTACATCCTCCAGTCACCAAGTATAGGCCTATTCCTCTTTCGTCCTTTGAATTCAATCCAAAACGAACCCTGTTTCGAGTGTGATTCTCTATTGTTTCTTCCCAATTTGGACTTCAATCGCTTTTTTCCAAACCTGTGTCGCGAACCAGCTCATCGCGAATCTGCAAAAAAAGGAAAAAAAATTATTTTCAGCTGTTGCTTCAGAATCTCAAAACTCAATCAAATTATCAATCGGATCTAGCGTAATTATAGTTAATCTGTAGAGTTGAGGCACAGGCTTAGATTGAATTATCTTGGTTTGACCGTTGACCTGCTTAAGCCCTGTCAAGACCGATGAGAAAAAGAGCTGTTGTAATCGATGGCTCCGATATAATTAGATTTGTTCTGCCATCAGCTTTGACAGGATCCTCATCCAACGTTAAACCGCGTTGAAATACCGATCCTACAACGCTAGTAATTAAGGAGATGACAACTTACAAGTACAAGCTGATAACTGGACAGTATCATGTAACTTGAAGATATTGGACAGTGGATCTGTTAGGCCTATATCCACAGATCCATGGTGTTACATCCACGGATCTACAAATAGTAGCACCTCTTAGTAATTAATCAAGGCAAAGTCTACAGCTTGTAGTAGGCACTGTAGGAGGCAGCACTAAACTAATACTAATCCAATTGTAACGTATAAGCTAACCAAACATTCGTTCATGTGTATATTTGTAATCTTATAAGCCAGCTGTAAATGTTGATGATGATCGAAAGGGTTATAATATAGATAGTGTACTAATTAGCTCTACAGTGAATTAGCATTATTAATAAAGCTGCTGTATGATCACAGTATCACAGTGGTACAATAATCATCAAGTGAATCAAATGCCTTCACATCATGATGTTTTAGTCAATGTAGTTAGTTATAGCCGATTGCTTAGATACATATCACCACTGAGATTAAGAGTCGTGTATATGAACAGCGTACTCGAGAGACTAGTGCTCCAGTCAATCCGAAACTCTGTGAGATTTGGATATACCAATCATGATCTTGATAGTCAGTAAGGAAATGCCCAACCACAATGTCAGCAATTCCATCGACTTCTGGAACAAAAACACAGCGACCACTCCCTCTCCATCCATTAGTAATGGATACCCAGACCAAGAGCCAAAGTGACATACGTTTGCAAATGAACCAAATGCTGTTGAATTTTCGTGTTGAACTTTTTCTGAAAAACTGTTGTTTTCAGATTTTTATGGCCGTAAACTCCTATTCTTATATAATCATGGTACACAGTTTGTTTACTTGAACATGATTTCATTACAAATATTGCTTTGGATTCCTATGAATTGATGGATTTAATGGGTTAGTTTGATATGTGTTTCTAATCAAGGAAAGACTATAAATTGAAGGGTCAATCCCTCTTCATTTGATCAGAATTGTTTGATCTTAAAGCACTTCACTATTCAAAGCAATATAAGAAAACAATTTACCACAATGTCCAAATTAACTCCAACATCCACTTTAACTCTTAACAATGGTTACAAAATCCCAATCACTGGTCTTGGTGTTTTCCAAACTGATGTTCAAGAAACTTATGATATCGTTTATAAGGCATTAGAAGCTGGTTATAAACACATTGATTCTGCAATTTACTACAAGAATGAAAAAGAAGTTGGTGATGCCATTCTTCAATTCTTGAAAGATCATCCAGAGTTCAAAAGATCAGATATCTTTTATACTACTAAAGTTGCATTTGCTGCTGATTATGAAACTGCTAAAAAGGCCATCCATGATTCTTTTGAAAAAGTTAAAGGTTTAGGATATATTGATCTTTTCTTGAACCATTCATCCCTCCCTGATAAAACTGGTAGATTAGGAACTTGGAAAGCTTTACAAGAAGCTGTTGACGAAGGTATTGTTCGCTCAATTGGTGTTTCAAATTTTGGTACCCATCATTTAGATGAATTATACGGTTGGGAAGGTTTAAAAATCAAACCAGTTGTCAATCAAGTTGAATTACACCCTTGGTTACCAAGAAAGGACTTGCAAGAATATGCTAAGAAATATGATTACATCTTGGAAGCTTATTCTCCATTGACTCAAGCTAAAAAATTAGATGCTCCTGAATTGGTTTCAATTGCCAAAAAGCATAACGTTTCAACTGCTCAAGTTTTATTAAGATGGTCTTATGATCAAGGTTTCTTACCATTACCAAAAACTGTTACCCCTAAAAGATTATTACCAAATTTAACTGTATTGGATGATGTTGAATTAGATCAAGAAGATTTGGCCAAATTGAACTTTCCAGATAGTTAAGAAGTTTTAACTTGGGATCCAACTACTTTCCATGATGGTGATGACTTCAAATTTTCAGGTAATTGATTTTAATGACCACTTTATTAAAGGTCGATGTATATAGGTATACTCAATCTAAATATTTCTTTCTCCTTTACACTGTTAATGTAGATTAGACTAAACGAACTTATTACATCATATGTGTTTAACAATCAAAGGGGGCTAGCATATAGATGCAACTTCCTCCTTTAAGGTTCATCCAACATATTATTCATTTATGCAAACTCATAAATCGAAGTTAGTTGAGTAATGTCAATAGAAATCATTCATAATCTTGTCCAACCTTTAACATTCTTTTCAGAGTCCAATAAAATCAATCTAAGCTCATCCAAAGTAACCTCAAGTTGCCACATTTTAGTCTCTACCGTATTATTCGAAAACTCTATAGTCTTTCCACTTTTCCCTGCGTTTGTTGGAGGTGTCAATAATCCTAATTTTTGTAAAACTCCCCATGGTGTCTCGCATGTTTCCTTTGTCCAGATCTTGAACCCTGTATTAATCACACTTGTGTTGAAAACATTCACTGATCTTTCCTTATTTTGCATCTTGGCCATACTTTTGTATTCTTCATATGCAGAATTTAAATTAATCCAATTCAAATCATTCTTCGTTATCAATCTAGCAGCGCTGACAAGCAATGAGAGCTCAATTTCAGATAGTGTATTGATAATGTTCTTCCACGATGATCTGTTGTTGTTGGCTGAATATTTCTCGAAATCCACATCATTCAAAAATGGTTGATTTTTTGAAATCTTGGAAATTGGGAAAGTGCAATGATTATGAAGTTCTTTGAAGTTATTAACAGTTAAATGGTTATATATGATCAATTTCCTCAAGCTGGACTGATTATTTATCAATTCTTCAATGTGTTTATTCCATTGATTTTCATAATCATTTTCTGGTTCATCAATACTCAAGATTTTTTTGGAAATCTCTATAAATTGTTCTTCATTAAATTTAGTAAATTGAATCATTCTTTGGGAAAACCTACTTCTAACCCTTTTCTCTAATGAATCTTTAACGGTAAATTTTGATGATAAACAGATGGTGGTGATGGGAGTAGAACTATTTTCAACCAAATCAAATAAATTGTAGAGTAAAGTTTGTCTATTAGGATTTGCAAACACTTCAACTTCATCAATGACAAACACAATAGGTATATGAATACTACCACTAGACTCATCCTCCAATAAAACTTGCTTATCTAGAATGTTCAAAATGTTAGAAAATGTTTCAGTGACTGATTTTTTCTCTAAAAGTTCACTGGGGTGTAACTCCTTCACATTAACCTTATAAACTCTTGAAATCTCAGTGTCTAATTGTCTTGCGATTGACTTGACAGCAGCCTTATCATTATCTTGAATCAATCCTGAAATTTTGATGAACAGAAATTCATCTCGTCTATTTTTCACTTGTGACCTTAGTTCTTTCAAAGCAATATTCAAGCAGGATGTTTTACCTGAATTCTTGGGGCCTATTATCAAAGCTGATTGACTTTCATGATCTTGAACCGTAGCTTCAAGTAGTCTATAGATCTCTCGATATTTGGGCTCAAGACCATATGGTATTATATCTGATCTGCTCGTGAACTTTGAATATATTTTGGTCTTTAGCTTTAAAAGTTCAAAATCACTGATCTTTGTAGTTGCCTCAGTTGAACCTTCTGGGGCTGAGTTATCCGTGGCTTCTGGTTCAATCTCACTCTCCTGTGTAGATTCCGTTTGTTCTTGTTGTTGTTGTGCAGGGGAATTGAAAGCATTTTCTTGAGATGAAGACTTTAATGGTTCTTGTGAATTTTCTTGTGTTAATGGCTCTTGGGTAATATTCCCTTCACTTGTTGTCTTTTCATTGTTGTTTTGAGAAGCCTCTTCAGAAAACCTAACAGCTTTACTTGATTCCTTCGCGCCTGGGGCCTCCTCTGGTTTATCAGTGGCATCGAAAAATTCTTCATCCCCTCCCTCATCAGTATCCACTTCTTTATCGGCTAAGTTATTTGGCGGCACATTGTTTTCTGTTTCAACTGCAATGGTCTCTCCTTCACTCGTTTCGGGCCTTACTTCTTGTGGTAGAACTTGTTCAAAACTTGCAACATTCTGTAGTGTATCATTATCTTCAGGCAATGAATCGTCTTCAATTTTCACTAGTTTTGGAAATTCTGATTTTTCAACAACTATCTTCTTCTTTACTTCATTCTCCGGCTCGATCTCATCTTTTCTTGAAGCTGACTCTTGAGTATCATCACGTTTTTCTTCTACCGAACTATCATTTTTCTTTTGCTTCTTTCTAGGATTATCGCTCTCCTTTTCTCTCTCATAATCACTCAGGTCTATGGCTTGCTCGTCATCATCTATCTCGTTAAACAACTTGACGAATTTCAACGGATTAGCAGGCTTAGAGCTGGAGATCAACTTATCAGCAGTAGCAGAGATTCCAGACTTTCGAACCTCACCAAATTCACCTGCAAAATCTTGTTCTCTTTGGAGTCTTTCCTTCTTCTCTTGCTCACTCTCAACACGCTTCTCCTCTGGCTTATTCACCAACTTAACCATTGTCCTCGATGATCAACTTGGAAAATGTATTTGGCTTCAATTTGTTTGTTGATGTTTTGAATTTGTTTTGACGAAAAGATTATGTCAGCGTATCTGGTGTTGGGATGTTCTGGGCCCAGCAAGATAAAGCTGAACCGTTAAAACATAGCAAAACAAAATGAATCCCTAAACATCAAATCAATTGCGTACGAAATTGAAAATGGCCTCAATAATTTATAAACACGATGAATTGCCAAAGTCAGTGGTGACATTGTTGGAAAAAGGCAAGTTTGTCCATTTGGGAACTGCTGATTTGAAAGGGTTACCAGATGTTGCCTTGATGAATTACTACTACTTGCCATCCCATGAATTATACTCATCAACCCCAATTGAAGGGAATGAAACTGGTCCTGTCGAATCCTACAACTCTCAAGAACATACATACATCATCTTAGCTACAGGTAAAAGCTCTGTCAAATATAAAAATATTGAACAAAATCCAAACGTTTCCTTATTATTTCACGATTGGACAACGGCAAAAAACATTTTCCAAAACAATGATGCTAGTAATCTTGATCAATCCAATCTATTTAAAGTGCTACAAAGCTTGAACCAAACCGAATTGAGTCAAGTAAGTGCTACATTATCAGGTAATTGTAAAATCATAAAAAATAATGATGAGTTGAACTATTATAAATCAAAATTATTAAAGGAAAACCCAGATGCAAAGGTATATATTGAAGGTGAAGACAGTTCAATTATATTGGTTCAAATCACTAGTGCAAAAGTCTGTGATTCAGATAATAACACAAGCGTTTATAATTGAATTCTTTAGTTAATGTAATATAATACACACATGATGATGCAAAAAAATAAAGAAAACGTATCAGGATACTAATTACCTTCTTGCCCGAAATCATTAGTGAAATCTATTTGCTTCTTCAAATCAGCTTCATTCACTGTTGGTCTAGTTGTTTTGATTGCTTTTATAAAATCCTTTATCGTCAATTCTGGCTCTTGTAATTCATCACCTTCAATTTCCATCCAGTTCATTTCCACTGCATCTGAATCACCAGGAGAGCATGGTGTTAGTTTATTTTCCTCTGTTCTTTTAAAATGTGTTGCACTTTGAATTTTTCTAATAGGCTGCATTAAAGCATCTTTAACAACAACAGATATATCAGCACCAGAATAACCATCAGTCATTTCACCCAAAAGTTTATAATCTTTGGAACCCAGTTGACATGGTGTAGATCCAACATTTAGTTCAAACATTCTGGCTCTCGCTTCGACTTCTGGTAACGCAATATAGATTCTCTTTTCAAAACGACGTCTAATAGCAGCATCTAATTGCCATGGAATATTTGTAGCACCTAAAACTAAAACACCACTTGAATCATTACCAACACCATTCATTTGAACTAATAATTCTGTCTTGATACGTCTTGAAGCTTCACTTTCACCTTCACCTCTTGGACCACATAATGCATCAACTTCATCAATGAAAATAATTGAAGGTTTGTTTTCTCTAGCCATATTAAACAACTGTTTAACTAATCTTTCACTTTCACCCATCCATTTACTGACTAAATCTGAAGAACTAACACTGAAAAAAGTGGAATTTGCCTCTGTGGCGACAGCTTTTGCTAAGTATGATTTACCTGTACCTGGTGGCCCATATAATAATATACCAGATAACGGTTTTCTTTTACCTGTGAAAAGATGTGGGAATCTAACTGGTAATATCACAGCTTCTTTTAATGCTTCCTTTGCAGGTTCTAAACCTGCAATATCTTCCCATTTAACATTTGGTTTTTCTGATAAAATTGCACTCGATAATGCACCTCGCAATTTTTTATTATCAGAATCATCTTCATCATCACCACTTCCATTCCCATTACCGGATTTCTTACTCTTGGTACTTCCATTAGCAGATGCTTCAGCTTGTTTTTCTTTCTTATCTAAATGCTCTTTCAACTGTTCAGCTCTTGATAAATATTCTGTAAATTTTGTTCTGATAAGTTCTTTAGATCTTGCATTTTTTTCATATTTGATAGCAAGCATTAAATAATCAAGACCATTATAGTAGAGTTGATATGCTTCATCATACCTCGTGGCGTTATCTGCCTCTATGGCTTTTTGAACTAGTTCAATACCTTTGTTCAAGAAATCCCCTGTTGACATAATTGAACTTGGAGTAAATGTATAAATAAATCCCTCCAACAAGAAGTTGAGATTATGTTAGTATTGATAAAAGGATTGAATTTGAGTAATTAAACGACCAACAAGTATAAACAAGTGTTGTTGTTGCACAATTAATACTCTTCCAAAGTCTTTATTTAATTTTCCCTTGATTTTTTGCGAAATTGAAATCTGCCAAAACAGTGAGTGTCTGTGATACGTTTTGGGGTAATTCCCCTATTTGGACATTTTCATTACATTATCATTTACTAAACAAATTACAAGTCAAAAACACTCATTAACAACATTATTACCTGATGAACTTGAAACGATCAAGATCAACTTTCACTGGAGACAAAGGTCTCGATATATTGTTGTCATCCTCGAATTTGAAATGAGGCATATCATCCGTTTTATCAAGATCTTTCAGAATAGAATGATCATTAGAATTTATAGATTTTTCTAGTTGTAAGGATTTCTCATTAGCTTGCCTTAATTCATCTCTCAAACCTTCCACTGTATTTTCAAGCTGCTCAACTTTTTTACAAAGTTGTTCAATTCTCGATGAATCAATATAACTCTTGTCCACATTATTTTCAAGGCTTAAATTTGACTTTTTTGAATGTTCTTTTGATAAAGATGACTGAGTGTTGTGATAGATTGGTGATGAAGGAAGATCATGGGCAGTGATTTTGCTAAAAGTTAAACCCTGAGAAGCAGGCTTGGAATCTGTTGGGGTATGAGCTTTCCATGAAGTTTCATTGGAATGATATCTTGTATCCACTGCTGTTGAATAATTTTCATACCCATTGTTAGTTTCCTTTTGATACTGATACTTTGGGACATCAATCTCAAATTTGGAATATGATTCATATTTTGGAACCTCAGTAGGATCACCATTACGTCTTTTCTTGTAACGATTGAATGAATTCCCAATACTTTCGACTCTTGAAGAAATTGTATCGGTTCTTCTGCGTCTTCTGCTTTCTCTTTCGTTGACGTTATCCTTGTCCAAGTCTCCAATACTCAAGGTATCACCCCTTTTTGATCTCACCAGCTCTTTTCTCTCTTTTGGAACTTTGATCATTCCATTCATATACTCCTTCATTGAACCAAGTTCCCCATCATCCTTTTTGAACACTTTTGACAAGTTCTTCAAAGCAGAGCCCCATACACTATTTTGTTTATTGTCGTTTGACGGTTTGAGTATTCTTGGAGAGCCCTTTTTGCCCTCTGTCTTCCTTATCCTATCCAAAGGGTTTTTTGACTTGTCATAATGTATGTAATGGCCATTTCTTCTTGGGGAATCCCTTGTAGATTGTGAGAATTTGACACTGCTCTCTTTACCACCACCGCTTTCATCTGAGACTTCGTTCCATGCCTTTGAGATTGAAGAAAACATCGTGTGAACCCTTGAAAACCTCAACGTTTGCTAATTCGTTTTTGTTATTGTTTTGAAATGTTTTGTTTACGTTTTCTCACAAAAAAAAGCAAATTGAACAGGGCCACGCATAAGGAATAAAGTCGCGACTCGCGACGCGTTTCATCAAGAGAAAAATGTATAAGCTTCATTTTGTTTGTAGACTGGGATTTTATGAGCCATATATAAATTACCATGGACCATCAACCTATAGTGCTCCCTATAAGGCTTCAGCCTTCCAATTTGCGACCAATCGCATACAGAATCCTTTCCAAAAAACACGGCTTGAATATCAAATCAGATGCTCTTAAAATACTCGCCGACTATATTGGTCCAAAGTTTGGTAATGAATGGAAATCTGCTAAATCACAACATTTCTTGGAAGAGATAGCTAGAATATGGAAAGAGCAGGATAGAGGGCTTTTCATCGATGGTGAAGGTCTTGGTGAGGTGATGAAAGAGATTGATTCGTTGAATACAAAAGTTGCAAAAAAGATGAATCCAAGCTCAACAACTCATCAACCGGTTCAAACTTCAGTGGATGCTTTGATGGCTGGTAGAAGAGATACTATTGTTGATGAAATAACAATAAGTGAAGACGAAGTCTCAAGAACTAGCCCACCAACTAGCGTATCACCACCTCCAATCAGAGAATCGTTGAATTGGAAAGATTATTTCAAAGTTATTAATGCATTTGATCAACCTTTATTTGATTATAACCATCATAGAAAGCAATATGAACTTTCCAAAACTAAAGATTCCAAATTTACGTCAACTTCTGTCGATGCCAATATATCATTATTTCAAAGAAGATTCCATATAGTGAAAGATAGATTATTAAGAAATGAAAACTTTCAAGCAAGCTCTTTTAATGCATTTTCATCTATTCAAGGAGATTCAGAAAATAATTCAATAACACAAATCAAGAACCTTTTGGGTAGAAATAATCAAAGGTTCATGTTATTTGGGATGTTAACATTGATAAATGGTGATTGGCATCTACAAGATCATTCTGATAAAATCCAACTAGATATATCACAAGCGGAACCAAATTTGGGTTCTTATTACGTCCCCGGTAATATGGTTTTAGTTGATGGGATTCATGCAAGTGGTAAATTTTATTGTTCATCAATGGGTCATCCACCTGGTGAAAGAAGAATTGATACATTAGAGGCAAATGGTAATATAGATTTCTTGGGGATACATGCAAATTTAAGAATTGATAAAGAGTTGAATTCGAAACTGAAATTATTAGAAAGGGAAATGGATCAGAAAATCATAATATTGGGATCAAACTGTTATTTAGATGATTTGAAAACTTTAGATGCTTTATCAAAATTATTTAATAAACTATCAGAAGAACCAAATGACCTTCCAATTTCGATAGTTTTCAATGGTTCATTTGCCTCTTCGCCAAAGCATTCATCAGAATATAAAAATCTTTTCGATTCATTGGCTGCAATATTGGATACATTCCCCGTTATTTCTGGTAATGTTCAATTAGTTTTCATCCCTGGAGAAAATGATCAATGGCAAACTCCACTATGGCCAAAGCAAACAATCCCTAAAATATTCGGAAATAGAATCAATAGAGTTGCAAGAAATGTCCAATGGGCTTCAAATCCTACAAGAATGGTGTATCTTTCTCAAGAAATTGTCATTGCAAGAGATGATTTAGGTTCAAGACTAAGAAGAAATACTGTTTTGTTTCCTAAACTGAACAAGAAACTGGATGATGAAGATGAAGACCTCGATGAAGGAGAAGATGACAATGGGGATGAGTCAAGAACTGAGATTGAAAGATTAGAATCATTACCACCAAGAATATCAGAAGCTAGAAAAGTTGTCAAGACAATTTTGGATCAAGGTCATTTAAGTCCTTTTGCTAAAAATTTAAAACCTATAATATGGCATTTAGATCACACATTACATTTATCGCCAATTCCGTCAGTCCTTATACTTTCAGATCCATCTTCACCTGCATTTGATGTCACCTATAATGGGTGCAGATGTTTAAATCCAGGTATACTCATACAAAAAAGAAAATTAAACTACATTGAATACAGTTTATCAACCAGAAAAGCTGAAATTAAGGAATTGCATTTTTAGGTATTGATCATTATCATTTGCATTTATTTAATATGTTTCACTCTTTGTAGGGCCATTTCTTTATTTTTTTACCAACTTCAACTGGTAGACAATACATTGGGTCAACTGGTACCAAATTTTCATACCCCATTAAACTCAAACCTGCCAACCCAAATATTGTATGGAATACATCAACTTGATTGCCAGGTCTATCACTAATACCACCAGTCACTTCATCTTGACAACTTAATATGAATTCTCTTAATTTAGCAAAATCGATATAACCCAACTTATTTATCAATGCCAATGATGATAAAACCCACCAACTATAACATACATCTGGTAATTTACTTGGTCTTCCATTCAAACCACCGTTTTCAACTTGTCTTTCACTTAACCACCAACCTGTTAGCTCAACATCCACAAGATCCAATTTGTCTGCAATTGCTAATGTACCGAGACATGTAAACACTTGAGCTGAATGACTTTCAGCACCTGGTGCTAATCCAAATCCACCATCAAAATTCGCACAGCTTAAAATGAATTCCACAGCTTTATCAACAACTTTTGAGGACAATCTACCCAAAATAGCTAGCGATTGTATAGCTGTATATACAAATCTGGTATCCACTTCACCAAATCTGTCACCTTGGAAAGCACCATTTGGCAATTGTAAATCTGTTATAAACTTGACTGTCTTTTCGATACCTTGATCGGTTAAAACATCCAATGAATCATAGATCAACAATATTTGTAAGGCAGATAATGTGGACAGTAAATGACTATCATGGTTCTTGAAAGCACCAAACCCACCATCTTCGTTATAACAGCTCAGCACAAAGTCAATAACGTCTTGCTTTTTAAATGAATCCTTGGAGTCCAATAGAGACAACGCCGTGAGCCCCCAGTACGTCCCATTCAGACGCAAATGCTCTGAAAGCCAGTATTGGTAGTCCTTAACATGGGTGTCCAATGATACGATGTATTCTATGTGTTTTTCCTTGTACAATGCCATGATGTTTGTTGTTCTGAGGAATTGGTGATATTGGCCTAGCTGATGTTGTTTTTTGAAGTTTTTCATAATAGAAAAAAAAACAGATCTTTGAAAGCATCAACAACAATTTTGACTCAAACAAGAAACACAATGTCAAATGAAGTCGTGAGCTATGATGACTTGAGGGAAGACAGAGACTACGAGTCTGGCGGTGTCCAGGTTGGCGAATACTTGCAGCAGATGGAGAACAAGAGAAAGGCCAATTTGCTGCTGGTGCCCACAGATGATGATGCGGTGAAAGCGAAGCTAAGGTCTCTTGGAGAGCCCATCACTTATTTTGGAGAGGATAAGGCTGATAGAAGACAAAGGCTTGTTGATTTGGTAATGAATAACAACATTGATCTCGCTGCAAATGACGTGGAGATGGGTGAAGTTGATGACGATGATGATATTGAAGATGAAGAGTTTTACACACCAGGTTCTCAAGAATTACTATCAGCAAGACAATTCATAACGACTTTTTCATTGGAAAAGGCTCAAGCAAGAATATCAAATCAATTAAAAGAATCATCAGTTTCGATGACCAAACAATTGACGATAAGGCGTGGTATCAATGATCGAGTGAAGACATTTGAACTTGGTGGTTCACAATTGGCATCAACAAGACCTATTTCATATGTTACAATCAACCAAAATAACACTGACCAGATATTATCAGGTTCATGGTCAGGTAATATTAAATTGTTGAATAAAAAACTTGAAATTCTAAAAGAATTTAATGGAGATGAAGGAAAAATCAGTGGATTAGATTGGTCACCAACCACACCAAATCTATTTGTGGGATCAGGGAATACAATTTCATTATGGAATACAGAATCTGAGGAAGAACATCCAACTGCTACTTTTAATGGCCACGATAATAGAATTGTCCGTACTAAATTCCATCCATCAGGTAAATACATTGCAAGTGCATCTTTTGATCAAACCTGGAGATTATGGGATGTTGAAACTCAACAACAATTATTGTTACAAGAGGGACACTCAAAAGAAGTTTATACACTTGGATTTCAGAATGATGGTGCTTTACTTGCAAGTGCTGGTCTTGATGCGATGGGGTATGTATGGGATCTTAGAATTGGGAAATCAATAATGATTTTGAATGGCCATATTAAGCCGATATATGGATTGGATTGGTGTGATAATGCTTATCAAATTGCTACAGGGAGTGCTGATGGGTCGATAAAGATATGGGATTTAAGAATGTCCAAGGATATTTTCACGGTCCCTGCTCATAATAAGATTGTTTCAGAAGTTAAATTTCACGACAAAGTTTTAGCGTCAAGTTCATATGATGGAACTGTGAAGTTATATAGTGCTGATAATTGGGTTACTTTGCACACTTTAGAAGGACATTCTGATAAGGTGATGAGTGTGGATTTGACAAATGACTATATAGTTAGTAGTGGTTGGGATAGATCAGTGAAGATATGGGCTCCTGAATAATAATTACAATGTCAACCTTCACATTAATTCATCAATTTTTTTTTTGTAATTATACACTAACAATCATTTTATACTGGGACTGTTCCTTCTATTATCTGAGTTTCTTCCTCTGCTACTACTCAACTTCTTTAAGGAGTCATCAATTTGTAATTTGATAAAATCTGTTTGTTCAGTCAATCTCTTTATTTCATCAGATTCTAAAGGTTCATCTGTAACATCATTGAAATATTCTTCAAGCTTAGCTTCATTTTCGAGGATTGCCTTTTGGTTATGTTCAATTTCCTTTTCAGAATCATTAATTGCAGTTTTGGCAGTCTCAATTTCCTTGGACATGTATTCATTCTCGGTTATCAAACTCTTCTTTCTGGCCTCTTCTTTAACAACCAACTCTTTTAGTTCCTCTATCTTCTTTAATTGTTCATTGGTATTCAATTCTTGTACCTCTGTCTCCAATTTAGCAATATTTGCTTTAATTGCGTCAGTTTTCTCAACAAGTTTATCAGATTTATTGTTTGCAGTCTTAATTCTTAAATTTATATGATCAATTTCATTAATCAATTTACTTTCATCATTTAAAAGATAATCTTTCTCTGTAGTATAGTATTCATCAAAATGAGAAAATTCACTCGTTTGAATTGCTAAATCCTTGTGCAAGACATTAAATTCTTGAATCAACTTGTGCGTCAATGTATCTGTATAGTTTGAGTTGACACTTAATATACCAAAATTCACATCTTTCAAGGGATTAGATGTATAATCTCTGCAAAGTCTCTTTGTTTCATAATAAGATTTTTGTTCCTTCTTTGGTTGATTTTTTTCATAATGAACTTCTGAAAGCAACGATTTCTCGACATCACTAGCATCATATTTCTTTATCTTGGTCAATTCAGGCAATGGCCATGGATTTTTGTTGAAATCTTGGAAGAACCCTTTAAGGTATGTCAAATTTTTGGAATATATAGGTCTTAAATCTGGTGGTAAAATCCCAACTCTATCTCTTAAAACAACAATAGCAGCAGTAACATCCACCAAGTAGTCTGATCTTGATTTTTCGAATTGACGAAAGTATAGGGCAACATGATCAATTGAATTAGCAGAAACAAATCTTAGTATTGGTGATGTTGGAGTTTTTTTCAAAGATAAAAGAAATTCATTTTTTGGTGTAATATCTAGCGAGAAAATCAAATCAAACTTCTCTTTAATGTCAACATCTGAAGGGATTAAATGTGTGGTTAAGTCTTTGTTCTTGTTCTTTGCAGGGTCCTTAATGTAATTACCATGATGTCTCTTGATTGTTGTTTTGGAACCCAATAACAAAGCTTCAACCAAATCTAAAAGTTTCCCAGATCTTGCCACTATACCAACATTCAATGATGTTCCTTCAATCAATGTGATGACATCTTTCAACACTTGGAACTTCCCACTAGTTTCACATAGGTTATATGGAATGTCCTTTGATGTAAGATTCTTTGGTAAATAATGGTTAATCAATAGGTAAGGATGAGTAGCAACAAGTTGAGAATTCAAATACAACACTTCCAACGAGTCCAGTAATACTCTGTCATTGTCATCTGTTTCGAAATATTTCAATATATCTGAATAATGAAGTGAGACGACTTGGTCTGTGAGTTCTTTCTGGTACTCGCTCATAGGAACAGCGAGCCAGTAATCCCCCGAGGTGTTGAGCGTAGTGTTCAAGTTGACAATCGGTGGCTCTGGCGTCGTGTCTAGTATCTTGAATAAATCCATCCTGGTTCTCTTTGTAGCCTTTTGAAGGAATTGAGTGTTAAAGTGGTTTCGATGGGTAAAATTCAATCTAATTTACTCGAAAACGAAAACAAACCGAAAAATTCAAACTTTTGCAAAACGAATTCGCGAAGTAACGTAATCAGAGACGCGAAAAAAAAATCAATTTCAATCAAAGACTTTAACAAAAACATCGAGAAGAGTGTTCAATTGCTTGAGTTGTTGGTCTTTGAATTGAAAATGAGTGAGCTTACTGCTGATGAATTGGCTCTATATGATAGGCAATTGCGTGTCTGGGGTGCTGATGGTCAGAATAAAATCAAAAACGCCTCCATTTTGGTGATCAACTTGAACGGTGTTGGTACAGAAATTGTCAAGAACTTGACTTTGAGTGGTGTTGGTTCCATTGAATTGAGTGATCCTTCAATTGTTTCAGAACAAGACTTAACTGCTCAATTCTTTCTTTCTGAAGAAGATTTGGGGAAATCCAAGCTAGAGGCCGTTGAACCAAGAATCAAAGATATGAACCCAAGAGTTAACCTCACAATAAATACAACCCCAATCAATTATGATGATAGTGAATATTTCAAGAAATTCCAATTAGTGATAGCTAATAATTTGGAACCTCAATCTTTCCAAAAATTAAACAACATTACCAGAGAGTTGAATATTTCATTATACTCCACAGTAGCCCATGGATTATATGGTTATTTTTTCAGTGATTTAATCTTGGATGTTTCCAATTTTACCAAAAAAAAGATGCCAATTGCAAGAAAGGCTGGTCCAATCTCTAAAAATCAAGAAATCCTCAAGATATCATCATCTCATAACAAAGAGACTAATGAAATTTCTGAAACATTTACATTAAAATCTAAATTCTCCAAATTTGAAGATGTACTTCATTCTAAAAATTTGAATGACTTGACAAGAAAAGGGAAAAAAAATGTTTCACCATTATTATCAATCTTTTTTTCATTATATGAACTTGGTCTTGAAGGTCTTGAAATTTCAATTGATGTTCTAAAGACAAGAGCCAATGAAATCAACAAAAGACTAGGTTTGAATGATATAGTTGATGAATCATACTTTACCAAAGTCACTACGCAATTAAACACTGAAATTTCCCCAGTTGCTGCTATCTTAGGAGGAACTATTGCACAAGATGTCATCAACTATATAAGTAAAAAAGAGATTCCAATCAATAACTTGTTGATTCTTGATGGTGATAATTTTACCATGCCTATATATGAGCTTTAACGAAAATAATTTTAATACTACAATGTTTCTGAATAACAAAATTACCATGTAAATAAAACACTTTTATTTCATTATTATGACAACTGCTTGACACTATGAAGAAACTATAACATACTGTATATAAAAAAACAAAAAAACACAATCACACTTTTCTGTAAATCAGCACAGACATCTCTAATTATTACCACTAACAGCAAGTTTTTGTAAATGTTCCATGAATGTTTGTAAGTTAACATCATCTGTTAAGACAACTGCACTTTGAGATCCCATGGTCATACCTGAATTATAACTTGTTGAAGGATTCAATCTTGAATATAAGAATCTAGCTTGTGAACCACCTTCTTCTGTATCAATAAATCTAGGTAATGGGAATCTATCAACTAATAATTCAGCAGCTTCTTTCTTTGGTTCCTCCAAAAATTCCTTAAATGAAGCATATTCTTCTTGATCTTGATATCCTGCATTTCTCCATGCTGCAATTGTTTCACCATGATAAATTAAAATATGGAAGAATGTATCCAATAATAAGATACGATCTGGTTGAATTGAAATGGAATCTAACAAAACAGGTTCTGGTTCACCTTCCATAGAGAATGAAGTTAAAGTTGGTTGAATCATAATCAATGAATTTATAGTATCTTCTCTTGTTAAAACATGTCTATAAAATGCAGTTTCATCTGGTGAATTGTTAAAGACTTGTAAAAATTGTGATCTTCTCAAATAAAACATAAATTGAGGATATAATGAAAATGTTGGTGATAATCTAAATGAATTTGGATCATCCTTCAAGTAATCACCAAATTTAGTACAAACCTTGATCAACATTCTGTCAATCCATCTCATGACATCTGCACTATCATCTTGTTCAGCTTTATAAACTGCTATTCTTGACATTAAAACACCAGCAGCTTCTTGATCAAATGAATTGGCAATATCTAATTGACCAACTGAAGATAATGGATTAACTAAAGTGGTAACTTTAACTCTATAAGTACCAGAAGCATGTTGATAATGAGTCAGGAATTGAATAAAAGCTTGTTTAGCATTAACTTGGTTTGCAATTTCAAAGAAAACTGCATAAGTATGATTTGGAGAAATGGCACTCATTTTCCAACTATTTGTATTACCAATACCAATTTCAGCATCTGCAATATTGGAACCTGTAACTTTATTTGAAGAAGTATGTCCAACTAAACCTGAAACTTTCAATTCTTTTGAAGTTTTAACATCGAACTGAGCTTTGAATCCCATCAATAAATAACCTTCTTCATCCTTAGAGAACAATCTTAAAAATGATTGTTTGAAAATCGATGTTGTGAAAGCATCTGATAATAACAAGACACCACCGGTTTTATTTGAAAGGGATTGCATTTCACTCAAACCCACTTGATCATAACAACCTGCAAAAATATCAACTGCATGACCACTATCAGCTGCTCTATCAGCTAATGCATCATAAAATTTGATAGCTTTTTTATAATGTTTGGCAGTATCTTTATCGACATCATTATGGGATCTAATTGGCTCTTTCAATTCATTGGTAACAATCATACCTGGGTTAAGAGTACCTGGACCAGCAGAGAATAATAAAATTCTTGCACCAAACCCTTTGAAAGCAGCTTCCAATAAACTAACAGAGATTGATAAAGCAGCACCAGTTGATCTAAGGGCTCTTTTACCACTTTCAACTGGCCATGGATCTTTTTGTAAGTTTTCAATGATTGAAGTCAATTGAAATTCAACATTTTGTAGAATTGAAAAGAAATTTGTGAATTTTTTAGATAATAATTCATCTAATTGACTAATTGTGTAATCTCTGTTACCTCTAAAGACAAATGATTTTGGAAATGGACTATTCAAATCGTGTAAGCTAACCATTGTACCATAAGTAATCAAACCAACTAATGCATTTGGAGGTAATAAACTTAATGAAATGATTAAAGTTTCTTTTAAGGCTTCTAAATTATCTTCATCTTGACATAAATCAATAACGAAAAGGAAAATAGGTGGATGTTGCACTGGTCTTGTTAAGATGTATTCAATTGATGAAGATTCAGCTTGTAATTCTAATGGTAAGTTTTCTGTAGTAACATTTAAATAATGATTTGGTAAAGTGTTTCTTGAATTACAGAATGGACAAATCCAAACTCTTGATCTTGGATCAATTTGACAATATGGGTTCATGATGGACTTACATGCTGAATTAGCACAGGCCACAGGATCATAATTGGCAATACGTAAGTTTGGAATGTCTTTCAATGGAGTGTATAATGCACCAAGCGGGACAACTGTTCTATTTGCTTCAGCTCTTGAACCTGGAAACACGTTCCAAGAAAAACGCACACCGTTCAAATCCTCGTTAGTTTCGAAGTCCATTATTGATAGATCTTGATTCTTTCCTCCAAGGAACCAGCAAAGTGTGTGGAGATTCGAAGTTTTGTTGTTGTTGTTTTCAATAACAGATCCTGATTTCCTCAGTGTTGGCCTTTTTTTCAAGTGATGTGTTGATTTTCAAAATTCAGAATTGCAAAACGCATTCGCGGATACATGAAAAAATTAAACGCATTCGCGGGAAAGCGAGGGTAATTTTCGCGTATTCAATACGTACTACTTATATATTGCGAATTCAATTAATTAACGTATTAAATTTGTTTAAATAGGAATAAATATAAATGAATAAGAATATTTTACAGAAGTTGTATTAGGCACCTTCATCATCCCCCAATACACCTGTTTGATCAAGGCTGATGTGAAGTTTCTCCATTCTTCTATGATCAATTGCCAAATCCTTCTTTTTATGTGTCAATTTGTTTTGTCTTGAATCCGTCCAATATTCAGGTTCCTCATCTTCTTCATTATTGGACTTAAACTTATTAGCATAATCACCTGTTGGTTTATCTCTTATTATCTTGGATAATCTAGAATTATTTGCTAACTGTGTATGAATTCCTGAACCAAAAACCCATTTCAATTGAATCAATCTGAAAAATGCAAACCATGATTTAACAGCTAATGATCTTGATTTACTCAATTTGATATGGGAAAGGACTAACTCGTCTTGACTTGCATAATCATCTTCAACATTCAATTTCTTTGACGATAGTTTGTTTAATCTTGCTTCTTTATCAGAATAGAAGTTAATGGTGGTTAAAACATCTCTAAATAATGATCTACCTTCCTTTTTATCCTTCTTGGATAGCTTCTTGCTCGAACTTTTAATTAATTCTTCTAGTCTAGTGGTTAACTGATAAGTATTGGTAAAAGGTAAAGCATCATCTAATGGATCAAAATCATCATCAAGAGTTTCACCCAATTCATCATCATAATTATAGATTTCATAGGCAAGACCAAATAGCATTGCCATTGGTTTAGTAACTTCCAAGTAGTCACAATCAGTTAACAAATCCACTGTAGAATCAACCATATTTTCAATTAATTCGTTCAAATTGGAATGTTCCACCAAGACTGTCAAAAGTGCACCTAATCCATACACCAATGCAGTTATTAAAGATATATTTTCACCAATGTCAGCAGCCAAGCCTAACAAAGTTTCCAACAAAAATTCAAACATTTCATCAACACCATACCCACTTGATTCATCATAAATTACTAATGCTAATGAAGTGTATGAATATATTAGATATTGTCTTGAAGAAGTTGGAATGTTTGTATCAGCAATTTTCTTCTCTAATAAGCTTAAAATGTTCATTGATTTATCCTCACTATAAACTGCACCAGCTTCATCAATATTTGAAATTATAAAGGCAGTTATAGCTCTATCAGCCAAGACTAATTCATTTGATTTAGCACTTTGGAAGACTTTAAGTAAGTTGAGCAAGTCTTGTTCATATTCATAGTCATCATAATCTGAATCTAATGTTGGTTTTCTAATAATTAAATTGTATAACTGGTTCAACAATAATTCACGATCATTTGAAGAAACTTCATTTCTTGATTTTTGTAAAGTTTTGATAATTTCTGGAATTGAGTTTAACTTCAATCTAACAGTATCCTTGGATCCATCTTTCGCTGAACTAGAGTTATTATCATCATCGTTTAATAATGTATTCAATCTTAAACTAATGATTTCATCCAAATTACCAAAGTTGATGTCACTTAGTAATCCATCATGGTCTTGATCATCAGATCCTGGACCTCTTGAAGCTGATCTTGATGTGGTTTTGGAAGAGGCTTTGAAAGCAGCAGGGCTGTGAATTCGTTTGTGTCCAAATTCACTCATTGTTTTTTTGTTTCTGATGTTGTTGGTTAAATGAAAGTTTAGTTTGAGTTTTTAGATGGGAACTTCACCGTTTATATAAGTTTCTTTGACAGAATGACTAACAATTGCTATGTTCTGTTGCAAAAATTTTCTGTCTGTGAAGCAACCGAAAAGAGGAATTCTTCCAATGTCAAGGAATCTAAACAGAATATAAGTGTAGCTAATGACAGATACTTTGACTAACGCCTTTAACAGAAACTCAATGGGCAGTTGTTGAACTAAACTCTTCTTTATTGTTTTAGTGGATCCCTGAAAGACTTTTTCTGCCAAATCATGAGCTTCTCGAAAGTAATCTGCAGATCTGCCATTCTCAGAGTGTCACTATATCTTCTTTGGGACTATTTCTGTTTTGGGATATTTTCGTCTGTTTTATTTTCGTTTTTGTGGATTTGGAATTTTATGAATTATAACAAAACTTTAAACATTTCAAAGTGGATTCTTTTGGCTGGTGAGATCTTATTAAAATGCCTAAACATATTTTCTTTGTCTCGTTGATATCGAGAGATGTGAGTTTCCCCAGCGATTTCCAACGAATCGATGTTTGAGTACTAACGTGTTGAAAGAACCGTCCATTACATATACAATCTTTGACACCTTTCCAAGGTGAAGAATCAATAATAAGTGAAAGAGTAGATGATCAAACAAAACCAGTAGTGGAAGGAGATGCTAAATCTCAAAAATCTGGAGAAACACATACCCTTGTTGATGAATTGAGTGAGAATGAAATACTCAAATATCAATTTTTATCAAATATGGCTTTAGATATATTTTTATCACCATTCTTTGAAGGTGAACAAGGTATACCCGTGTTGCTGTTTATTCAAGATGGTATAAATATATATGGATATGAAACCAATACTGGATTGAAAATATTAATTGGATCCTCATCAGAAATTGATGAATCATTTGGATTCATTTTCAAGAAACTTCATAGATTATATTTGAACTTGATTGTTAATCCGTTTCAAAGCAATGACTTGTCACAACTAACGATCAATGAGGAAAAGACGACGCTGAAAGTGAATCAAATCATTGATGAATGGGACAAGAAATACAATACAGAGTAATTTGAAAAAACACATCATTAATTAATGTACATTATTATTTTATTTATTCGTAACATTCATAACCTAATCCAAGACCCATCTATTTCAACACAACATTTGCATTTCTCAATTCCAAATATTGCTGATCAACACCAGGTGCCATATTTTTAACAATTGAATATATTTCACCATTATAGTATCTTAATCCACTTGATGGAGATTTGTAATTACCTTTTAACCCTGTTATGTCACAATATTTTTTGGTTGGTTTGACAGATGGTGGACTATCAATTGAGAAGTAATTTACAGAATCTTTTTTTAGTTTCTCTTCATTTGCCTTTAAATATTTTTGTTCGTCAATCATTAATTGTTTTGTCGCCTTAACCCTTCTCACTGGATGCTTGTAATTGGGATTTTTGAAAAGAAATGGGCCAGCATTGGAGTCTGCAACCTGCTGAATGTCTACTTCAGTCATAATTGAAGTAATCTGATTCCCTTTGCAAGATAGTTTATACTCAAGTTTGTGTGTTCTTTCAAGGTTTGAATCACCAGAAATTCGCGATTGAACCAAGTTCCGGCTTACTTCCACGTGATATTTGCCCTCGACAATACTTTAGACCACTAGACCCGCCTTCAAATTTTCTAGTCCCATTCATCAGCCAATCGGAAGTCTCCTTCGCAAAGGAAAGAGCAATGCGAGACCCAGTATGCTTCGAGTCTAGGCCCCTGTCTAGTTCTGGTGTAGCGTAAAATTTCCCTATCTAGCAGCGACCGTTTGATGAGCTCTTCTTGAGCTTAAAACAATACATAAACGAACCGAAAAAGAACGTGCAAAGACGTTTTAATCAGCTTAATCTCATTATAATCGTATTCATTCGTCTTTACCATCACTTCTTCTCCATGAACTCCCCCTGTAGTCTGTGGATTCCACAAAAGAGCCGTTTTCTATTACGGCAACAACACAAACAAAAACAAAAGAAAAAAAAATTTCAACGTTCAAAATGACAAAAGTTTTGGAAAACTATGAAAAACTTGAACCTGATGACACATTTATAACTTTCTGTTCATCTTTTACACTCAAGTGCTTTAACAAAAGATATACAAACAATGACAAACTCAGAACCTGCTATGCAACCTTACAAGTCTGCAAAGAATGACTTTAGAAGTGATACCTTCACAACTCCAACTGAATCTATGGTCAAAGCGGCCTTAACAGCTTCAATTGGTGATTCAGTCTATAATGAAGATGTTGATACAATTGCCTTAGAATTGAAAGTTGCTAAATTAGCTGGTAAACCTGCTGGTCTTTACTGTGTTTCCGGTACTTTATCAAATCAAATTGCCATTAGAACACATCTTTTCCAACCACCTTATTCAATCTTGTGTGATTATAGAGCTCATGTTTATACTCATGAAGCTGCTGGTTTAGCAATGTTATCAAACGCTATGGTTACTCCAGTTAGACCTGCTAATGGTGATTATTTAACTTTGGAAGATATTAAACAAAATATTGTTCCAGAAGATGGTGATATTCATGGTGCTCCAACTAAATTAATTTCAATGGAAAACACTTTACATGGTATTATTACTCCAGTTGAAGAATTATTAAGAATTAAACAATTTTGTGTTGAAAATGGTTATAAATTACATTGTGATGGTGCAAGAATTTGGAATGCTAGTGTTGAAGCTAATGTTCCATTGTCAAAATATGGTGAAATTTTTGATTCTATTAGTATTTGTCTTTCAAAATCTATTGGTGCTCCAATGGGTTCAGTTTTAGTTGGTGAAAAACCTTTTATTAAGAAAGCTAATCATTTCAAAAAACAATGTGGTGGTGGTATCAGACAAAGTGGTATGATGGCTAAAATGGCTATGGTTGCAATTGATGAAACTTTACCATTATTGAAATCAAGTCATGAAAAGGCTAAAAAATTAGGTGATTTCTGTATTGAAAATGGTATTATTTTAGAATCACCAGTTGATACAAATTTCGTCTTTATTGATTTGAAAGCTAACCATATTAAAGATGATGATTTAATCAAATATGGTAAAATCCATGGTGTCCAATTGATGGGTGGTAGAATTGCATTCCATTATCAAATTGATGATGAAGCTTTAGAAAATGTTAAAAAAGCTGTTTACGATGCTCATCAAAACTCTAAAAAGAACCCATACTATCATGATGGTCCTTACAAGATGTATCGTTCACCAACTCCTGTTAAATATTAAGGGAGTATAAATAAGGGTAATATTTAAAATGGCATTTGAGGTACGATAATGGATATTTAATGAATTATAAGCATTTTTTTTTAATGTTTTTTGAGATTTTTTTTTTGATACGGGAGAATTAATATAGCATCAAAAGGTTTAAGTTTGGCATATTATACATATAGAATAATATCAGGGATATTTAGTTAATTATTGGTTTTGATATTTGCATTAGAAGGTTTTGTTTTTAAATTGCATGGAACTGTTGTTATGAGTTATACACAAGGTGGATTGAAAATTAGTATTCAAGGTGTATACAATGATACAGCATCTCATTCGCTTAGAATGACTTTAAAGGAACAATCCCTGATTATAATATGAAGTTTGCATACAAAGTTTGAAATCTTTTTGATCTCTTTCTCTTTACACTTTTTTTTCTTTTTTTTGACTTTTTTTTGGGCTATGGATCATAATATACAAGATTCTTCAATACTGGATATGTAGTTGATCATTTCATATACTCTTATTCCCTGAATAATAGGAATTCTAAAGATTCTTTATTAACGAGTGTCCCATAACATTTTTATCACGTGCCAACTGCCCAATTCGGTTTACTTCCCCTTTCAGTCATTTCCTCGCTTTTTCATTTTTTTTTTATATTTTTTTTTAGCTGGCGAAATGAAATTTTGGCGATGCATTTCCACAACAATAAACAAAAAAACCAAAATAACGTCAACAAACCTCAAAAACGGGTTCTTCTTTTTGGTTTTTAAGCTAGAGCTGTTGGTACACACGTCAGAACAGTGTCATTGAACTCGCTGCTTAACTTCTGCTGGTGCGTTTCTGGCTGATTCATAGTTTTAGTTGGTTGGTTTTTTTTAGATCAAAGGAAAGGAAGAAAAAAATTGCTGGATCAATTTTGACCAAAACAAGCTAAGCGAAAAAGAGAAAGGACTTTGATTTTTTTTTTTGAGCTCAGTTATTGGTGGCTGCTATTCCATTCATTCATTTAGATTAAGCTCCTTCATTTCATTGAGAAGCTAGTTAATTGAACTGTGGTTGTGTTGTTGTTTGCATTTTCTTTATAATTCTCACCTTCGCGAAGGGTCTTTAATTGACGTGTTTGGTACATTTCGCCAACAAAATATCCTGTTGTTGATACAAAAAAGGTTTTATTCAGGTACTGGACAAGTTTTATTACTTTGAAATTTCACATCCTCAAAGGCTCCATTTCCATTTCCATCAATATTATATCTGCATTCCATATTTTTCATTTTTCCAAATTTAGCATATATTACAATGAATTACAAGACTCAAAATATTCAAAACCAATACATCAACCGTTTTTTGAGCATAACGAAGAACAAATATTCAATATCAATTATTGGAGTTGTGATAACATTAATCATTTTAATAAATTTCATAGTACAAGTTGTATTGGGTCAACTCTATGTTCCAAATTTTTCAAGTGTTCCATCTGTTGATTTTTTCGATTTGAAAAACTATGAAGGTTTATCAGATGGTTGGCAACATGAAGAACGTGTGTTGTTTTGTGTCCCATTGAGAGATGCTGCTGCTCATTTACCAATGTTTTTCGGTCATATGAAAAATTTAACTTATCCTCATAATTTAATTGATTTATCATTTTTAGTTTCTGATTCTTCAGATGATACAATGGAAGTTTTAAAACAAAACTTAAAAGATATTCAAACAGATTCAAATAAAGCTATGAGATTTGGAGAAATTGAAATTTTCGAAAAAGATTTTGGTCAAGTTATTGGCCAAGGTTTTAGTGATCGTCATGGTTTTGAAGCTCAAGGTCCAAGAAGAAAATTAATGGCTAGAGCAAGAAATTGGTTATGGACTGTTAGTGTTAAACCTTATCATTCCTGGGTTTATTGGAGAGATGCTGATGTGGAAACTGTTCCTCCAACTATTTTAGAAGATTTAATGCATCATGGTAAAGATGTTATTGTTCCAAATGTTTGGAGACCTCTACCTGATTGGTTGGGAAATCAACAGCCTTATGATTTGAATTCATGGCAAGAAAGTGAAGGTGGTTTACAACTGGCTAAAACACTTGGTGAAGATGCTGTTATTGTGGAAGGTTATGTTGAGTATGCAACTTGGAGACCTCATTTAGCTTATTTAAGAGATCCATATGGTGATCCAGAAGTTGAAATGGATTTAGATGGTATTGGAGGTGTTTCGATCTTGGCTAGAGCTAAAGTTTTCAAAACTGGTGCCGGATTCCCAGCTTTTTCATTTGAAAAACATGCCGAAACTGAAGCATTTGGTAAATTATGTAAAAGAATGGGCTATTCAGTTGCTGGTTTACCTCATTATGTTATATGGCATATTTATGAACCTTCTTCTGATGATTTGAAACATATGGAATGGATGGCTAAAGAAGAAGCTAGACAATTGGAAGAATCAAAATTAAAACAATTTTATGATAAAATTTGGTCTGAAGGTTTTGAAGATGTTCGTGAAGATTGGAAAAATGATCGTATAAATATTTTTAAAAACACAGATACCAACAAAATTAAGAATGTTAAAGTTGATTGGTCTGATGCTGATAATTTCCAATATAAAAGCCCGTTAGGTAAGGATAAAGATAAAGTTTTAGCCGCATTTGATCCTTCAAGTTAGATACCCCCTTTTTATATATAGAGAATAATTATGATGTCTTCAATTGACATTGAACTAGAAATCCAAGTTATATTACAACAGTTATATTAATTTCTATTTAATCATTTTGTTCATAATATTATAGTCATTTTAATAACAATGAGTTTTTGAGTTTTAAAAGAATTGTACGATGTCGATATTTTACAAGATGGTGATCGATGTATAGATCATGATAGTAGTATGCAAATTATGGTATATACATTCATTTTAATGTTCATTTTTCAATATCCTCCTCGATTATCTGTTCATCAAGATCATTTTCCTTTGGTTCACCTTTATTCTTCCCAAAAAATTTCTTAACCAGTGATTTACCATTCGATGCAGATGTATTGGTTGATTGAATTGAACCATCAGTGGCATTATAGTTTGAATCAGTATCATTATTATGGGAACTTGCAAATGATTGTTTTCTGATATTTGATGAAGAACTTTTACGATTTCTTGAAAACAGTCTCTTTGGTGTTGTTGCAGAATTGTTATTTGAACCTGGATGAAATTCTTCAATATCCGAGTCTTCAGTATTATGAGCATCAATCTTAGTTGGAGATGAAGTTCTAAATAATGTTGAATGTTGCTTTGAAGGTGATTTATTACCCAACTCGTTGGCTTGATTGTTATTACCACCAAATGGATTCATCAGGAATTTATTCTTTCTGAAAAATGATGGAGACGAACTAACATTTGATGCATTATCAGCAGATGATTTCAATGATTTTATAGAAGTTGTATTTGATGATTTGTTTGTTGCACTTAATTGGATTGGACCGCCAGTTTCCATATTCACATGATCAGACATGGCATCAGATGAGAAAGATACATTTGAACCAATGTTATTATTGTGACTCTCTTTTGTTGGTGCTGTCAAGAAATCATTATTTTGAACAGATGGACCTGGGAAAAACTTTGAAAAACTTTGTTCTTTTTCAAAACTAGTATTATTTGAATGAGCTGAATTCATACTAACATTTCTATTATGAGAATTATCACTTTCACCTGGACTTTTCCAAACAGAATCCAAGATAAATTTTGATGGAGTTGAATTTTTCTGATTTGAAACTTCTGGAGAAAATGTGAATAATGGGTTTGAACCACTATGAGCATGACTTTGAGGTGTACCAGTAATATCACCATTATTGGCATTGCTAGTAACTGCATTTTTGTTGAAAAACTTGCTATGTTGTTGTTGAGATTTTGATAATGAAGGTGCAGAAGCTGGTGGTTCGTTGGTATTATTATTCTGATTGTCATTCACATCATTATTTCTTCTACCAAAGCTGAAAACATTTGACAGTCTTCTTGGAGAAAATGAACTTATATGATTGGTATCTTTGGAAGATTGCTGAGCAACTTGGGTAGGTGGTTGTGGTTGGAATGAATTTTGTAACAATTCGTTATGGTTCCCAGAAAATACTGAATGAATATCATTATTATTTGCATTTGATGGTGAAGTTTGATTTGAAAGTAATTCAGCATTAAATGATTGAGGTGGAGATGATGGATTATCTAATGAAAATCTTGGTTGTGTAGGAATGCCAAATTCATTATGGAAAATACTCTTTGTGCTTAAATTTGCAGATGAATCATTATGGACATTACTAAATGCATTGTTCATTCCAAAATGAGAGTTTGGTCCTTGTTGGAAATGGTTCGAGTTTGAACTGTTTTCTAAAGACAAATCACCTTGAACACCTTTAACCAAGTTCATAAAATCATTATCCTCATCAATTAAATATTTTGGAAGTAAATGTTGAGCGCTAGTTTCAGCATTTGGTAAAACTTCAGAATCATCAACTTCTGGTTCAAATTCAGGTCTTTGTAATGTTCCATTGTTTGGTAATGTGGTATTAAATGCAAATCCATCTGAAGAATTCCCTTGGTTGGAACCATTTGGTATGGTGAAAGTATTCCACAAAGATGATGATGTAAATGCTGGTGGTGTTGAATTTTGAGTAACTTGATATGAGCTTAATGAAGGTGAACTTCCATTTTGAACATTATTATAATTAAATGCATTAGGAACTGCAAATGGAAAAGCATTTGGATTTGGTGGTGAAATATCCCTTTGTTGAGGTTGATGTAGACTAGATTGATTCTGTTGATGTTGTGGTATTTGTGATGCCACCAAATTTGAAGGTTGCGAATGAACACTTGGAGGTGTTGAACTATGAGAACTTGAAGGATTTAAAGCCACTTTTAAGTTGACATTTTCTCTCTTCAAAGCTTCTTTGACACCACTAATTCTTAAACAATTGTTGACTTCACGTTGTTGTTGAGCTCTCCATTCAGCTTCTAATCTTGCATCAGATTCAATTTCCTTTTGTATTTTTTGATGAACCTCAATATCTAATGATTTCAACTGTTCTAAAGTTTTTGTTCCCTCTTTATCTAAGCAGCCACCTATATCAGTGTGATCACCTAAAGTCTTGAAGATTTTAATAAATTGAGGTTTTAGTTGTTCTTTTTGCTTCTTTTTAGAATTGATTGCCTTGATATCTTCATCAATTTTGGAGATGGCATCTTGCAACTCTTTGATTTTAGACTTTTTTATAGCAATATCAGAATCAATTTCACTATGAACTCTATCTTCAGATTCAGTTAAATCATTTTTATGTTTTTCAAATTCATCAATTTTCAAATTCCAATTATTCAAATCACTCTCCATTTTTTGAATGTTTTTCCTCTTTGCAATTAAAGAGCTTTCTTGTTTAGACTTTTTCAATTCAGTCAATCTTCTTGAATCATCTAGTAGATTCATTTCAGTCTTGATTGCTTGTCTATTTGTATCTTCCAACTTCTTCCGGTCACGCAACTTGTCTCTTTCTTCAATCAATATGTACTCTTGTTCTTTGAAATCTTTCAAGGCTTGAGTCTGTTGGTTCAATATAGTGTGCAATTCTTCTTGTCCTGATTCCAAATAGTATCTTAATTCTTCAATATCATCCATTGATTTAGGATTTGGTAAAAAACTATTATTTGTGGCAGTTGATGCAGCATAAGATGCAAGACCATTGGTCTGTGGAGCGGTTGTACCATTACCGTTGACAGAGTTGACAGTATTGGAACGGGATCTTCCAGCGGCTCTTGCCTCGCCATTTGAAGTGATTGTTGATGGCGTTGTCAACTTGTGCACTGTGGAAACATCAGGATTATCAGTCAACAGTCTAAACAAATTCTCCGGATTCTCCAGCAGAATATTGTAATCTTGCAACTTCTCAGGCTTGGTCTTGATGAATATGGACTCACTTTTAGCCTTGTAACCATTTGAATTTATTGAAATCAAATCAATCTTGTATTTGGTGTTGGGGAATAAACTTGATAGACAGCATTGAGAAACATTTCCATTCAACGTTGATGCCTGTTTCCCATTCACATAAAGCACAAAGCTAACGATCTTGTGTTCCAGTAGCGGCAAGTCCCAATGGATGTGAACTTTTGAGCAAGTGATGTTGTCCACAGAGAGTTTTGATGCCTTGGGTATGTCGATGTTCAACGTTTTGATCAATTCTGGAACTGGGATCTTTGCTAGCACGTAAAGCCTGTGAGCTAGCCACAGACAAGCCAAAGAGAGCACCGTCAGTGTCCAGTACATATTCCAATTGAAACAATAATAAAAAAAACCAAGAAAACACCTAGATCAGTCTTGTTGTTGATGTTGAACCTGCTTAACCTTTTCCCAATAAACTTCACGTCAAAACAAAAAATTTCAAGCTTTCAGTTTTACTATGGGCCCTTTTTTCGGTATGCGCACTCCTAGTTTCGATTCGCGAAGTTTCGCTGAAGTGTCCGAAAGCGGTAATCTGCCGGATTTGGCTGGGGATTATAAACCTCGTCCACTTTTCACGTAGTTACAGTTCCAATTTGTAGCTTATCACCATTTAAAAAGTGTATAAAAAGAGGCCACTTGTCAGTTTGAATCCATTGCCACTTCAATAATCCTAAGGACCATCAAGAATGCCTGTCACCAAGAAATACACATCAGCTAGCAACGAGTTCAGAAGTGATACCTTCACGACTCCAACCCAATCAATGCTCAATGCTGTTTTCCAAGCATCTGTGGGGGATGCGGTTTATGACGAAGATAGCGATACTGTTGAGCTCGAAGAATACCTCGCTGAACTCACTGGTAAAGATGCTGGGCTATATTGTGTTAGTGGTACCTTAGCAAACCAAATTGGAATCAGAACCCATCTTCATCAACCCCCTTATTCAATCCTATGTGATTATAGATCACATATCTATGTCCATGAAGGTGCTGGTTTGGCAATGTTGTCAAACGCTATGGTTATCCCGGTGAAGCCTTCAAATGGCGACTACCTAACGTTGGAAGACATTAAAAAACACATTATTCCTGAAGATGGTGATATTCATGGTGCTCCAACTCAATTGATCTCATTAGAGAACACTCTACATGGTGTTGTGTTCCCATATGAAGAATTGAAAAGAATCAGAGAATTCTGTACTAAAAACGATTACAGACTACACTGTGATGGTGCAAGATTATGGAATGCTAGTATTGCTAGTGGTGTTACTTTCAAGCAATATGGTGAAATCTTTGACTCTATTAGTATTTGTCTTTCAAAATCAATTGGTGCACCAATTGGATCTGTTCTTGTTGGTGATAAAAAGTTCATTAGAAAGGCTAATCATTTCAGAAAACAAAATGGCGGTGGTATTAGACAAAGTGGGCTATTAACTAGAATGGCTAGAGTGGCTATTGATGAAAACTTACCAAAGTTGAAATCAAGTCATGATAAGGCTAGAAATTTGGCTGATTTCTTGATTGAAAATGGAATTCAATTGCAGTCACCAGTTGATACAAATTTTGTCTTTATAGATTTAGAAAAATCACCAATCAACTCTGAAATCTTTGAGGAACTGGGGGAAGAGAACGACATCAGAGTTTGGGGTGGACGTATAGCTTTCAACTATCAAACTAGTGATGAGAGCTTGGAAAAGGTTAAAAAGGTCATTTTGCAAGCTTATGAGCTCACGAAAAAACAAGGAACAAATGGTGAAGCTGGCGAAAAGACTTATCACTTTGAAAGTGATCGTTAACTAGTGTAAATTTGAATAAAATTGTGATAATATCTAATTCCAATATTTTGTATATTGTGCCTTGAATCGGTTCGCGTCACAAAACGTAAACACGGTTAAAAAAAGATCTCGAACGTCAAATTTCAAACGTGGTATTAAACCTTACACAAAACGTAATACACAACTACATCCCTATTCACCATGTCATCCGTCTTAGAAACCAAACAAGCTTTAGAAGCAAAATTATCTCCTATCGTGCAAAAAGCCATTGAGTTTTCCAAAACTGCAACAAAGGGAAGATCTTTCAAACCATTACCTGAAACTTCATCATATTCATTGATTGATTCATCTATTGAAACTAAATCAAAATGGCAAGAGATCGGTCTTGAAGCTATTTCTAAAGGTGAAGTCGGTGTGATCTTAATGGCTGGTGGTCAAGGTACAAGATTAGGCTCTTCAAAACCAAAAGGGTGTTACAATATTGGATTACCTTCAAATAAATCATTATTTCAAATTCAAGCTGAGAAATTGAGAAAAATTGAACAATTAGCAAACTCAAAATATGGTACAGATGCTAAAATCAACTGGTATATTATGACTTCTAAACCAACGAGAAATGATACTGAACAATTTTTCATTGATAACAAATATTTTGGCTTAGATTCTAATCAAGTTACTTTTTTCAATCAAGGTACATTGCCTTGTTTTGATAAAAACGGTGAAAAAATCTTGTTAGAATCTCAAGATAAACTTGCTGAATCTCCAGATGGTAATGGTGGGTTATACAAAGCCATTTATACCAATAATTTGTTGCAAGATTTCTCCAAAAAAGGTATAAAACATATTCATATGTATTGTGTTGATAATGTTTTAGTTCGTGTTGCTGATCCAACATTCATTGGATTTTCAATTGATAAAAAATTCCAATTGAGTACAAAAGTTGTTAGAAAAAGAGATGCTTCAGAATCTGTTGGTTTAATCGTTTTGGATGATGATTTACAAAGACCTGCAGTTATTGAATATAGTGAAATTGATTCAAAATTGAGTGAACAAACTGATGACAATGGCTTGTTGAGCTTTAGAGCTGCAAATATTGTTAATCATTATTATTCAGTTGAATTATTACAAAATTCAATTGAAAATTGGATTGATAATCAAGAATTTTTACCATTCCATATTGCTTATAAAAAAATCCCTTCATTAAACTCAGAAGGTGTTTTCCATAAACCAACAGAACCAAATGGTATCAAATTAGAACAGTTCATCTTTGATGTTTTCAAATCAATCGAATTATCAAAATTTGGTTGTTTAGAAGTTGAAAGATCTGAAGAATTTTCACCATTGAAAAATGGTTCAGGTGCTAAAAACGATACACCTGAAACTTCAGTGGAAAATTATTTGAAATTAGGTACAAAATGGGTTAAAGCACAAGGTGGTGAAGTTGAAGGTAAAGTTGAAGTTAATAGTTTAACTTCATATGCAGGTGAAGGTTTGGAATTTGTTAAGGGTGAATCATTCAAAGATTTACAAATTGTTTAGAAAGAATAAGTGCTAGAAATAAATATATATTTTGTATTTTTCATTAATTTGAGAGTTCTCATGACCAGCATAAGCGACCCTTTATTCTATGTTATTGTCCTATCTATTCAAAACATTTCTCAATTCATTCATTAATGGAGCACTTTCCTCCTTATCAATTTGTTGATCATTGAAATTAACCTCATCATTAACTTCTTCATTATTTTCATATTTTAACTTACTATCACCTTGAATCATTCTAGTGAAATTTAACTCCAATTTTTTTTTAAACTCTTCATTATCAAAAGTCTCTTCGCCTTCATCCTCATCCTTATCACCACCATCATTGTATGTAATAACAACACTATCATCATTTGATAACAAATTTCTATCATTGATATAATCATCATTTGTGAAAGTTTCATGAGAGGGCATTATATTCAAATAATTATCATCATAAGAAACAGCTCTTTTAGTTTTAATCTCCTCTTCCTCTTCTTCATTTTCAGTGACAGTAAGTAAAGGTAGTGTGAAACCAGTACTCAATCTTTTGTAACTATTTCTTCTCGAAGATGTTGATTTTGATCTTTGTTGTTGTTGTTGTATAGGAAGTGCTGTTGATGGTAATGAAAATCTTTTTCTTTGTTTAGCAATTTTCAACAAGTTTGAGTTTGTTTGTGATGTTGAACATTCTTTTTTATATAAATTTGATAAATTTTCTAGAATTGAACCTAATTCTTTCAAATGTGATGGATTTTTGGAATTTCTTGCAATCATTAATTGTAATTCAAACTCTTTGATTTTATTTAATAGCAAATCAATTGATGATGATGAATCATTTTGCTGGAACTCCGAATGATTTATAATTGTATTTGATACATCAATTGATTGTCTTATGGATTGATTCAATGTTTCACAAAATTGGGATATATCATTTAAATTATTGGAAACCATTATTAATTTTGATAAGAATGAAACTTTACACTCACCACCATTTTGTTTAATTTTGAAAATCTCAAAAACTTTATTTGAAAATGGTGAATGATTATTAAATTGATTTATAGTTAATAACACCACAATTAAAAATCTTCTCAAGAATTGTAATTTTTTAAATTTTGAAACAATTAAATCCACATCATCTTGATTATCATCAATCAATTTCAATGATTTCAATTCATCAATTTGAAATCCTAATCGAGTTAATTCAATGTTATAAATCCCACAATAATTTTCCAATTCAATACCATTTGTTAAAGATAATAATGATTTGAATAAATTTGTTATGGCATTAATTGATAATATTAACGAACTTGAAGATAAATCATAGATTGAATCAGGATTTTCATTATTACTAGTTGTTTGACTTTTCAGACTGGGTATATTGTTATAAATTTTCAACTCTTTAAATTTTGTTATTAATTTTTGAATTAAAGTATCAAATTTTTGGAAATTCTTAATGAATTTTTTCAATTGATTCAATATCTTATTCTGAATAATCTTTAGTTTCAATAACTTTGAATTTATTATAAATGATAAATGAATTGTTGATATCATCAAGACAAGCCGTATTTGTTGTAATGAATATTTGTATTGATTTTTTTGAAGATAACTTAAAACATTGATGATTTTCAAAATGTTTATTGTTGAAATGATTGAATTTATTTGAAAGTGTGAATTGATTTTGATTAAATGACCAAATTTTTGAAATCCCTTTTGATTCAACTCCATCAAGCTCTTCTTTTTAAACTTGGAAATTAGTATGGTTTCATCTAATAATTGAGAACTAACCAGTATGTATCTAAATTCATCCAAAAATTTCATATTTTGATAATTTTGATCATTTAATCTATCAAATAGATCCATAACAAATTCACGTAATGTAAATCTATGATGATTATCATGATGATTTTTCTTAGGAGAAATCCCCCAATCATGGAATTTATCTTCCACAAATGGAGTTAACCCATCCATTATATCCTCACCATTATCAGAAGTTGCATTGGTAGTTGATGATGTATTTATTGTAAAATCATTTATCAATGTTGGTGAGCTTATATCATTTATATTATCCATATCTTCCAAATCAATACCCCAATCCATCATCTTCCCATTTCCTTTCGACGTTCTTCTTCTAGTTGGTGAATTTTGATCTATATCATCTTGATCTTGTTGTTGTTGTTGTTGACTTATTGAAAGATACCTCTTCAAAGGGGCCAGACCTTCCCGTATGTAGTTTTCCATGGCGAGACCAGCTATACCACAATCAATAATTTATAATACTAGCAACCCTCAATCAATGGCTCATTTAAAACCTTCACCATCCAAATCAAACAATTTCAACTTGTTTTCTTTGTTTTGAAAACGGTTTCTCGCTTTTTTTTATTTGTTTACATTCTCCAAAAAAAAAAAAAAAATGAAAAACGAGTTCGCGATTCGCGAATATTAATGATTCTGTTACGGGCCACTCCATAGTAAGCATTTTCTCTATCAAATTCATTAATTAATTAATTATTCACTAATTATTATCACTTTATCTGTATCACAAGAGTCCCAAGTTGGCTAGTTTCTCACAGCTTGGTAATCTTAGGGCATTTGCCTTATCTAATTTATCTTGATCATGGAAAAACCAACCAAATGCATCATTAATTTGTTCATCTTTAAAATTCTGTTCTCTATTACATTGATTTTTCAATACTCCAACATAATATTGTTCAGCTTCTTTATCCAATTTTTTGGAATTTTTCTCATTTAATAAATCAACTTGTTTTGAAGGTATATAGTAAGGTATATGAAATCTTGAAGATATTCTTTCATGATTAAATTGAGAATTTTTTTGTAATTGGAAATCAACATTTGAAGAAGAATCTGCAAATATATTTGATATTATCGGTATTATTAAGACAGCAAATAAAGGTAATAATTGTTTTAAAGTGTTGAAAATGTCTTCAGGTTGTTGTTGTTGTTGTTGCTGCTGCTGTTGTTGTTGTCTTGTTCGTGTTCTTTGTTGTCTTTGTCTTGGAATACCACCAAATCCAAAAGGCGATGGTCCACCACCTGAAGTGAATGTATAAGTTTGAGGTCCACCACCTGCACCACCAAATGTAAAAGTTGTACCATGAGCATTTCCAAATAGTATATCGAATAAATCATTATCAAATTGAAATTGTTGGCCACCAAATGGACCACCGAATGGCGAAGCCCCTCCAAATGGTGAAGCACCACCTCCAAATGGACCACCAGGGCCAAAAGGTGAAGCACCACTCGAATATGAAGACGAAGCACCCATACCACCGCCTCTTTGATCAGGATCAGAACCAGTTTGATCATAGATTGATCTTTTTTGAGAATCCCCTAGGACTTCAAAAGCCTTATTCACTAATTTGAAACAATCAGCAGCCTTTGGATGAGAATTCTTATCAGGATGAACTTTTAATGAAATCTTCCTATAAGATTTTTTGATCTCCACATCAGTGGCTTCTTTATGAACGTCTAATATTTTGTAGTAATCATGGTTTCTGTGCTTCAATATTCTTTCCACTATTATCTCCTGGTCCTTGGAGTATGATCTTTCAGCCATACTTCACTATCTATTTGGTTGATTACCGTCTTCTTTATTTATCTCAATAGTAATCAAATTGTCAATTGTCGTAATTTTCATTTTCTTGTGCCGTTGTCAGTTTTTGAAAGTCTCGACTTCCAAAAGCGGAAGTGAAAGTGTATGGTGGAGGTGATTGGGAAGAAAAGGTTTTAATATAAAATAGATATAAAATAGAATGGAAACAAATAGATTTAGATGAGAGCAATTGGAGGATTTGTTAGTTTCTACTAATTTTTAACTATTTCACATCATCTCAGTAATAAAATTGTCCAATATGGTACTGAGTCAGCAAAAAGTCAGTAACTTGACCAATTTTAGAGATAATTGCACCGTTTAAAAGAGAACAAGTAGCTTAAGAGACGATAATATAAATTCCACTATTCTCTAAATGTAATATTTCTATCTTCACTACAATTCCTCCTGTCAAAGTCGCTTTTCCCAGTACAAACTCATTCTCACCTTGCCAAAGTAATTCCGAAAGGAAAAAAACAAAATAATCCAATATTCCAATGAAAACCACCAACAACATCAACAACAACCGTCTTCAAACTCAACTTCATCATCACTAAATAGCATCTACAGACAGATATTCATACTCACCAACTCCAACAGCTTACCAGTCCAACTCACAACCACCTCTCACCCCAAAACTCATATAATTATAATCCCAGCACAAAATGAATAACAATGGCTCCTCAAGAAGTGAGGACGACCTACAACAAGGCAAACAAACCGTGGTGTCTGATGCATTGGCTAAGAACTCAAGACAACTGCTATATGCCCATCTATACAACTATCTAGTGGAGAACCAACTCTATGATACAGCTAGGATCTTGCTAAAAGAAGCTGATGTCCCATTATCAAACCCATTAGAAAAAGATGGTAGTTCAAGTGAAAATAATGAAGATGATGAAGATCACGATGATACAAACCATGAGAATAGCAATGAAATGAATGGCATTGAAACTGACGGCGATGATTCTCTACCTGGTGTTAAAATGTTGATGACTTCTCCAGATACTTTTCTACTAGAATGGTGGCAGTCTCTTTGGGCTTTACATAGTTATGTTAAAGAAACTCCAGCTATTCATCATCAACAACAGCAACAGCAACAACAGCAGCAAATGAATCCAGCCGCAGCTTTCAATCCTTATGCTGCTAATCAGTTCATACCTCCTCAGCCAATTCAAGCTCCAGTCATTTCAAATTCAAATAACTCGCCAATAGATTCACCAGCATCACAACAACAGCAGCAACAACAAGCAGCCAATAACACCACCAACACCACTAATCAACAATCATTACAATCGCCTTTACCTCAGTCTGCACATGGAACACCTCATCCAGCTCAATCCATCACTGCACCATCTCCCGCACCAAATGCAAATATGATACCTGTCCAACAACAACAACAACCTCCAGGAAGCGCAGGCCCAACTCATGAACATATAACTCCTCAGATGCATCATAGAACACCAGTCCCTCCACAGCAACAACAACCTCAACCTCAACCAGTTCGTCAAGTTCCAACACCAGGCTCGACAAATCCAAATCTTCCACCATCTGTTGTACAACAAAGACAACAACAACAGCAACAGCCTCCTCAAAACCAATGGCAATATAATAAAATGCAACAGCAATTACAAGCGCAAGAATTACAACAAAGAGTTCAAATGCAGAAGATGCAATTGAATAATCAATTTAATTTCCAAAATTTACCCCCTCAACAACAACAACAATTTTTCTTACAACAACAACAAAGATTACAAGCTGCCCAAGCTGCTGCTGCTCAAGCTAATGGTGGAGGTGCTCGTCCAAATATGCCTCAACAACAAATCCCACAACAAGCTGCTGCACAAGCTCAATTTCAACAATTTCAACAACAACAAACTGGTGGTGGTAATATTGGATCCAACGCAGGAACTCCAACTACTCAACATCCACCTCAAAGGGCAAACCCTCCACCACCTCAACCAAATGATCCAAATAGTGGCTTGAGAGGTGATAATTCCACAGCATTACATGATTATCAAATGCAATTAATGATGCTTGAGAATCAAACAAAACATCTACCACCTCAAGCACAACCAACATGATTCCAAATCAACAGCAGATGATGAATATGCAATTAAAGAATAATGCTATGAAATCAAGAGGTGAAAGTATAGGTATAGATCCATTACAACCTGCAGTAGTGACAACTGATCCCTTAATTAATCAACAATTGATGGATCTGTTTAATAATAATGGTGGGAATAGTAATAACAATGGGAATAATGAATTAAATGGAGGGAATACAAATCCAAATCAATGGCAAAGAAATGGTAGTGCGGGCAATTTAGGTATTGATGAATTAAATGTTGATCTTGGTGTTGGGTTTCCAAATGGTGGATTCATGAATGGGTTTTGAATAATACATGTGATTCTATATTACTACAACTATGATTCGTAGATTAATCATTTATTCTATTACAATTTCATACCTAAATTAACATGGACAGCTTTTGCTTGAGTGAAGGCATGCATACCATATTCACCCAATTCTCTACCATAACCACTTAATTTAACACCACCAAATGGGATTTTAACATCTGAATCATTATTTGAATTGATCCAAACCATACCAGCTTCTAAATCTTGAGCAACTGTATGAGCTTTTGTAATATCTTGTGTAAAGATTGAAGCACCTAATCCATAAACAGAATCATTTGCTAATTCAACAGCTTCTTCCACTGTATTAAATTTACCAATTGAAACAACTGGTCCAAAGATTTCCTCTTGAACAATCTTAAAATTTTGCTTAACATCTGCAAATATGGTTGGTTGGATATAATAACCATTACCAAATTCAGTGGATTTATCACCACCTAAAACAACTCTTGCACCTTCTTCTTTCCCAGATTTCAAATAACCTAAGATTTTTTCATATTGAGCTTTTGAAACTTGTGGTCCCACAACTGCCTTGGAATCAAATGGATCACCTTGAGGATATTCTTCAATAACATGTTTTTTCAAAGCTTCCAAGAATTCTTCATAAATTGGTTCTTCAACATAAACTCTTGAAGAACCTGTACAAATTTGACCCATATTATTGAAAATCCCCCATGCAGTCCATTTAACAGCTTGTTCAAAATCAGCATCTTTGAAAACGATTAATGGAGTCTTACCACCACATTCCAAAGTTAGGGCTTTTAAATTTATTGCAGCATTTTTTTGAATCAATTGACCAGTTTTAGTTGAACCTGTAAATGCAATTTTAGCAACATCTAAATGTTCCACTAATGCGTTACCTGCAATGGCACCAGTACCTGAAATGACATTTGCCACACCTGGTGGGAAACCTGCTTCTTTGAATAAATTTGCAAAATATAATATACTTAAAGGAGTTTGTTCAGCAGATTTGAAAATTGCTGTATTACCAGCAGCAATCGATGTGATTTTCCATGCAAACATAGCTAAAGGATAATTGAATGGGATAATACAACCAACAACACCTAATGGTTCATGAATTGTATAAGCAAATTTTTCAGGATTTGTTGGAATAGTCTTCCCAGTTAATTTATCAGCCCAACCTGCAAGATATTTCAACATATCAATAACTTCATCAATATCATAGATGGCATTAGTATCTCTTGGTTTACCAGAATCATGAGCTTCTAAAGATGCCAAAATTTCACGATCTCTATCAACTAATTCAGCTAATTTCCATAATAAATCTCTTCTATCAGTGCCAGCACGTTTTTTCCAAGATTTAAAGGCTTTTTTAGCAGCAGCAACTGCAATATCAACATCTTCTTTACCTGCAGCATGAACTTTTGCATTGATTTCACCAGTTGCAGGATTTATTGATTCAATGAATTCACCTGATTTAGCTGCAACAAATTCATTATTGATGAATAAACCTGTTGGTTGGATATAAGATTCACCATTTGGCAAATCGATTTTGACTGATAAGTTGTCTGACATGTTGATACGATTGGATTGAGTTGGATTGAGGTAAATAACAAGCTGAAAGGATTAGGATTCTCTAGCTTTATATCAGAATTTCGTGGAGATGACTTTTAAGTCCTTATCGATGGAAAAGTCAAATTAAAATGCACCATGTTTAAAAATGAAAAATCCTTGAAGTTTGATCAACCAAATCGAATTTTAATCAAATCTCAGCGCAAAAAGGACTGAAATGGTTAAAAAGTGAATTCTTTTCAATTATTCTAGTATTCAATACTATTTAATTCCATTACCATTGCTCTCTATTCATTTCAATTCTCGTTAATTGACTGAACATTCTGTGCACTTCTTCCACTATCCCAAAGCAGGTACGAATTCCGCGCTTTCCCCATGAGGGAGGCGCTCTGGGCAGAGACCACTAACGTAGGCTCGCTAGGCGGAAGCTCATCGGGTGCTAGGCAGAGAGTCTAGGCAGAGACCCCAGGCAGAGCCGAAAGGGAAAGTTGAAGAGATTCTCCAAACAGGAAACACCTCCGCGCGCAATTGGCTCAAGATAAGAATTAGTGTATAACAAAACTTAGACACAAACGTTCAAAGAATGGCTGAATACATTGAATCTACAGTCATGAATTAGTCTTTGAAAATGCTATTAGGATAAAAAACAATCAAACTAAATTGATTCTAAACCAAGAATGCCATTGCTCATACTAAAACCAACATTCTGTAACTTCAAAGTGTAGTTTAAAATTGATCAAAACAATGAAAAATTATTAAAGTAAATTGACCAATAATTGCAAAAAAAATAAACCCTCTTAAACAAAGATATCAAAATTCAAAATGCAAAGATATCAAAAAACCATCCCAAAATCAAATGATTTTCCCTTCTTTATCTCTTTTTTCGCTTCTCTTAAGCTCTCAATATTAACCATCCCTTTTAATTAAACAAACTTCACCATCAAATAAAAAAAACCACACACCACACACATTTATAACACACATCTATTTCATTTCTAATGTATAGATCAATCCTCAAATTCCGTTCTGAGAATTAGTAAAGAATAAAAGGTGTCTCCTTTATATTCTTTGAAAATTTATAAAGAGAAAAAGAGAAGTAATAAAGTAATATCAAAATTGAAACAAATAGGTAATTATGGTTGTAAATCTTGATGAAAAATAGACTCGGGATCTTGGTGTCCTCACGCTTTTGTTAATGGAGATATAGTAATGAATTGATCATTGTTAGTTATTGTAGTTCATTTAGTTATTGTAGTTAATAAAGTTATTGTAGTTAAAGTTCCTTTTAATAGTTGACGGATTTGTGACCGTTGATTCTTGAAGTGCTGCTTGAAAATAAAATAAAAAACCTGTAATTCCTAATGTTCAATTTTTGAAATATTCTTTAAACTTTCACTTTTCAATATAAAAAAATGAAAAAGATTTGGTTGTCTACCGTAAACTCTAAACGGTAACATACTGGTATCCCACATAACGACAATAATATAACCATCAAACCCCGGTATTGTAATATATTCTGTGAGGTTAATTGACCCGGGTACTAGGGAAAACTCACACTTGGTTTTTAGATCCGTAAAGAAACCTAGATTTTATGAATTGGTTTGGTCAATTGGTTGGTATTGAATATAACAACATTGGTTGAAAAATGGAAACAAATTCTCCTCAGATTATACCAGCGAATGTTGAAAATGCCCAACAACTAGGCTCAAAAGTTGCCAGAAAAAACCTAGCGGCATTCAACGTTGAAATTGAAAAATGAACAAATAATGTGATAATAAACCTAATGATGATGATTCAAATGATAATGGATAAAGTTGCTGTCAAAAGCAAATGATATAAAATATAAAGCACAAGGTGAAGTGAATTAAAAAAAATAAATGGGGAGAAAAACCATTGACAAAAGTGCAGTATTGATAAACTTGTGAATTGATTGAAATAACTTCAGATTTGAAAAGAATAAAATCTTGACAATTATAGTTAATAAGTAAAACATGAGCATCTCCACTAATAACTTTTTGAATGAAAACTGCTAGTCAACACAATTCAACTATGGTTTCATATCTTTGAAAGCCAGCCAACCCTCTAAAACTGACCACTCCTTTATAATGGGCCACAGGACAAAACCCAGAGTAAACAAAATACACGTAAACCATTTCATGATCGTGTTAAACATAAGCATCTCTATACGTTAAATAGTGCTTGAAATTCCTCAGTTGTAATAAAATAAAAACAATCCAAGTTTTAAACCAACAATAAACAAACAACATAAAAACAAAACATTGATAGTAACAAAAACTAAACCACCTCAATCTAGCACCAAAAATAATAAAAATTGATTTTCAAAGCATTTCAAAGTATAAATTCATCACTTCTTAAAAATAAAAAATCCATATAGTGAAAAATTGAAAAAAAAAACCAAAACTACAAATTGTAGAATTGGTAAACCCCCCTCAAAAAACCAAAAAATGAAAAAAAGATAATGACGAACGTTTTGGAAATATTGTAATCTTTCTCAATTCCACTTAAAACATGTAACATGGTTGATTAAAATGCAGCAATAAAAACAAAACAACTGAATTGGAATGATAAAAAGCCATGTATAAAGCTTCAAATATATTCAGGTTCGGGACCCTTATTATTAATAAACCCAAATTCAATGAAGCCGAAAATAAACTGTTATCAAAACAGCCAAACATGTTGATCATTTTAAAACCAACATAAATCTTGATGCCTAACATTCAACAATTGATTGATACAAAATCATTCAAAACCCATTAATCAAAGATGCATGGAAACCACCTCGGTTAAAAAGAAAGAAACAACTCAAATACTCTTTTCAACATAACGAGCCACGCTAAACAAAGCCAATTAGCAAAACTTTTAAAGCATGATTTAACCAAAAATTCCGCATCTATACTCCAGCATCTCAATTTATGTAAATTAATCAATCTTCAGACATGAAAAAATATCACCAACGAGTGTGATGACACCAAGATTGTCAAAATTGAAGAAAGAAGAATAACAAAAACATTCCAGGATGGTTTGAAAGAAAAAACCAGTATAACCAAGTTATTTCACCTTCCAGAACACCACTAAAAAAAGGCAAAACATGATTGATACAAAAGCCTCTTCAAACACAGCGGCCAAATGAAAGATCAAGAACATCATATAAACTCTACATCAACTGCTAATGAACATCAAAAACACACAGTATGAAATGTAAGTTAGTACAATTAATTCTGATTCATTTGGCCAAAGAATTTGAAAAGAGTACCAACGATCTGGTTGAAAAATATTTTGTCTTCTATACACAAGAAAAAAATGAAATTCGGGTATATCATGTGATGTTGAATTCCGACCTTAAACCCATTTAATGGAATTATCTTAATTTAAACAGTCAAAAAGAGGGTATAGCGGAATAAAAGAGCTTTAGTGGGTATAAATAGCCTCAAGATTTATTTTCCAGCTTTTATTTTGATTAAATTCGCCGTTTTGAAAAAAAATTCCAAACTCAATAATTTTAAAAGATTTTGAAGTTATAATAAGAGAATCGATGTATACAAAATTTTGAAATTTTCAAGAAAATATTTAAAGAGCCGAATACGGAACAGTTGAATATATCATTGGAAAGCTAAGCTCAAATTTAGTTGAAATATTAGTTTTCTACACCTCTTTCTTTATATGGTTTTCGATTTGTTCAAGAAAGTGGATAATTGTACAAAAAGTTCGCGAAAATGAAATACAGGGCGGTTAAATCCGGAAGTATTAAAGTTGTTTCTTTATAATAATGATCAAGATTAGATCCAAAGAATTTAATCTTTGAGCTTTTGAACTCAAGATTTAAGACTAGGATATAGGATAGGTCCGATCCTCTATCCAAAGCTTTGTTTCAAGTATATGATTTTTCATTTCAAAAGAGATAAGTATTTTTAGGAGACTTAGTCTCAGAAGCGAGGAGCATGAACCTCTTCACTGTTCGTTAAGGTACACAACTCGTCTCAAATCTAAGCCCAAATTGTGTATGTTGCTTTTGATTATATCCTAGCCGGATCGACATCTTGCGCTCAAAGGTGGAATTTTTTAGCTAAAGCTTCAGATGCAGCCAAATATTGTACCTGTATTTGTCGGTGAAACGATGAAAAAAAAGCCAGTTTGTTTTGTATTTCTTGAAACGTATAAATCCCACAGTGCAAATCATTATTAAAAATGATTAAGCTCACACCAATCTCATCTGTGTTATTTCTTTGCACTCTCACTTTATGAGCTTTGTGTAGCGTAGGCTGTAACTTGGGCATAATTTTGTATACATGTGTATGTAGCAGCCAGGCTCTTCCGCAATCAAAGTGGTTGCAAATCGAAAAGATTGAGTTAAGTGTACAGCTTTTATGAAAAAAGTGAGACTTTTATATGCTACAAAGACGTCCTAGAGGCTAGAAGAGACATAGAAAGCTGGAAATTGAAAGACCAAAGAGATACGAGATTCACTTTAGTTCCCAATGCCCATCTAATTTCCGTCATCTACGCACAAAAGAATTAGAAACTAAAGGTACACCGTGCTTTTTATTGGTTGAGTACAATAGGTACACGGTATGCACTTAGAATCATAAGCCTGCTGGTACTATCCCCAAGCCTTGACATCATACACTTTGTACAGATGATTTCCAAAAGGATGTGTATACAATGCACTTGGCTGTTGTAGGCTTTGTGAGTCTGCTCTGTCCTGCGAAGCCGTTAAATGTTGCTAGCTCCTAAAACACTACCTCGTAGATTTTGCCAAAAAATTACGAAACATTTACGAGCATGAGAAGAGAGCTTAAACCGAGGAGCAAAGCAATTGAAACAGATAACCAAAGAAGGACTTGAAGTGTCCAATTCTATAAATAAGTGAGGGAGTTTTACTCAGCGAAGGTACTTTTATTATTTTACTCCTTATGAGTTGTGTGTAGCTTTGTAACGTTGTGATTGGATGTGTAATCCTAATTTGTTTCAAAGGTAATTTCCAG